GGGCACCAGATCAGGAAAATGGACACTTTTCTGGGGTTCCCAATCTCCAGTCATTCTAATACTGCAGGTAAAGTAGAGGCTAAGTTAATTCCAAGGAGAGAACTGGACTGGGAGTCAGAAGGCCTGGCCTCCATCACTCTGTAGCTGTGTCACCTTGGATAACCTTTTAAGTTTCCATTTCCTCATTTGCAAAAAGGGATTATAATTTGTTATTTTGATAATTAAATAAGGTTAATGCAAATAAAAGTGCTTTGAAACTGTAAAGTGCTATATAAACATAAGGGATTGCCATATAGGTTCTACCTGGATGTATCAAGAGGCCTTTTCTGGAATCTGATTGGAGCTTTGTGAGATGCTGTTAGATAAAGGGATTCCTTGGTAGAAATTCTTACATTTGTGTGAAAAGTCTGGTTCCTGAGTAATCCCAAAGAAGATGCTATGAGGAGTTCACTGTGCCTTTGTTTTAATCCCAGTGGGTTAGAATATCTGCCTTCTCATTCAGTAGGCTACTACAGATTTGAAGTGGAAAAAGGATAGGGTCCAGTGATCTGGATGGGATCCTAGACACTTCACGAACTTTAATCATTGGAGATTGTGGGGTGTGGTCCAATGTTGTTCTCAAAAAGATGTTGCCATTCTTCTGACAGTGTTGATAACTAAAAGTCCCTGGTCCAAATTTATTATGTGTCTCTGAAGGCTTTAACTGAAGAAACGAAATGCACACTCAAGGAACAAACTGGGCCTTTGTTGTGATAAAACAGCTTCAGCTATTTGACTTGAGGAGTCTGACTTTACTATAAAAGGCTGTGCTGAATCTGGGTAGACCAGGACAGGAGTGGAGGTGAAGGCCACATCATGATGGCTGAATGCCTCTTGGGTCACAGTGTCCATTGGAATGGTGTCTTCTTCAGCAGTAAGGTGGCAGGAATTACCATGGGCAAAACATCCAGGTACCAGATCTGTAGACTGATAGAACAGCACAAGGAAGGTGGTCAGAAGATCCAGGTGAACCCTCAGCAATCAGGAGGCACAGGACTGGAAGGGACAGGGACAAAACAGATAAGATAACAAACACATGGAATTACAAACACAAGAATCTAACACTGGTGTGGATCTGCTATTAGTACATCAGCTACCTGATAGATACTAATTCTTGAGAAGCCTGCCTTAAAAGCTAACATGATAAAAAGAAAAAAAAAAACAAGTGCCTTATGATTAACAATTAGTGATAGGAACAGAAAAAGTTCACTGGCAAAGACTGTTTCCTCACTCTTGAGAACAAACTGTCTCAGGGAAGCAGCAAACAGGAAGTGCCCTGGGTCTCATACTTTGGGGGAGTAATTTGATTGCATTCAGGCTGCTAGGCAGTGATTGGTGGGAGAGAAAGAAGTGGCTCCACAGGTGGCATAAGAAGAACTGAATTTTAGTTTATATACCAACACCAAAGTAAATGAGGTATTTCCCTTCTTCCTTTTCCAATGCCTTCCTCAAACTGTCTTATGACCTTGTACTTTTTAAAACCTGTCCTTAACTTTCATTTTAACAAGATTCCGTCTTGAGTGGGAGAGAATAAGGTACCCAAGGGAATAAGACCCTGGTGGTGGCACTCTTCTGTAATACCCTATGTAACATCAGTTTCTCTTTACATTTGAGAGCACCCTTACTCTTTTTAAATTTAAAATTAAAAAATAATAAAATCATGAAATGAAGGAAGAAACATGGCCCATAACTAGTAATCAAGAGTAATCAGGTTATCACACAGTGATTACACACTTACTGAGTGCTTATTCTGAGATAGCCTGCTCTCTAAATTCCTCTTTTCCATTCCATCACATGTGGTAGTACATGTGGGCAAAGATTTGCAAGACAAAGCCCTTGCTTTTAAGGGGCTTGCTATCTGGAAAGAGAGCAAATGCATGCAAATAATTACAGTCATGCGCTGCATAACGACGCTTAGGTCAACGACGGACCACATACACAACTGTGATCCCTAAAATTAGTACCACATAGCGTATGTATGCAATAGGCTGTACCACCTAGATTTGTGTTAAGTACACTCTATGATGTTCACATAACAACAAAATCGCTCAAGAATGCATTTCTCAGAATGTATCCCTGTCGTTAAGCGATGCATGACTGTACTTTACAAGGTATCACATACAAAGATAGGTAAAAGATACATAGCAACATGTCATAAAACTCAAAAAAGATTATTTCTGGCTAAAGTTAAGAGACTCTGGAGAAGAGAGCATCGGAGTTGGATACTGAGGAAATGCCAGTTTTGACAAGCCAAGAACCAGAGGATGGTATTTCAGGTAGAGAAGAGAGCAAGAACAAAAGGGCAGAGATGGTAAAGAATAAGGCATTTTGGAAAATGGCAAGTACCGTAGTTCACTTTGGATGGAGTGTTGCCAGAGTTTGCACCAATGGTCTGGCAGAAACTCAGGTGTTCGAATTCCCGGTAACAGTGCTGGTGGCAGTGCTTGCTCAGTCGTCTCTTTTCTCAAAGCAAGGTCAATAGTCTCAAAATTCAAAAATAAAATATCCAGTTCCAGAGTTCCTGCCACATCCTGATGAGCTCTTCTAGGTCTCAGGTTCAGTTCTTGAAAATCTGGAATCCACGCCGTGGCTACACTGAAAGACATCTGCTTCAGCTAGTGCAGAACACTGTAGTGAAACCCTTTCAACCTCCTATCCTGGACATCTCACTTCTGTCACAGAATTTCAAGCTTAAAGTTCCAGTTGTTTTTTTCCTCCTTTCTCCTGAGGAAAGCGTCTTATCACCACAGTCTTTTAAGATTCTTTTGAGGTACCTCCAGATTTAATTACAAAAGAGCTAAAAGAACAACACATTTTTCTCCAAAAAAGTCATTTCTCTGGAAGTGAGATCATTAGTCTCTGCCCTTCAGGTAAAGGGAATAGTCAATTGATTTTTTTAGACATTTGTATGAAACAGCAGAACTGGCTAACACCTAACCAGACAAAATACACTTAAATGTGTTTGTGTTCACTTGCTCAGAGCTGTACCACTGGTAAGCACCACTCCACAACACGCAAATGTTTGAAATCCAACTGTTCAAACATTCCTATAGTGTTTGCTGGATAATAGCCTGGAATTTGATAAAAGCAGCTGACAATTAACAAAGAAGCAAAAACTGGCATTTTGGCCATCTTAGTAACACACTTGTAAGCAAATAGAATACAAAGCACGCCAGGAAAAAGTTAAGCTTTGAAATACTCTCAAATCTACTGATTTTGAGGTTCAGCAGAAGTTCTAACAAAACTTTTCAAAGAATGTTAACTTTCAATTAATAAGGACAAACTCCCAAACATCTTCAGGAATTCCACGCCTGGTTCAGTCTGTTCCAGGGAGCCAGTCTGCTAAAAAATCCACCTGCACCATTAATTAGCTGGACTGGGCAGCACCATTTAAAGATAAGCCTGCTCACTAGCAACCACACAGACTAGGAATATAAAATAGGAGCAAGTAACGGATAGCAACTATGGTCGTGGAAAATGGTCAATGCAAGTCAGAAAGGTAGTCAGGCACCAGTACAAGCAGCAAAAAACAAAGAGCTGTTGGGCCAAAGATTAAATAGGCTTCTTGACACTAGAATACACATTCACTCCTAGTTTTAGCTGCTTTATATTGGGTGCCATTGTACCATAAGAATCAGCCACCCTTCAGGCACCCCATGGTGAAAAGACAAGACTCAAAACAGAAGCCAAACAGTGGAGTGTGGTTAGCCCGAATATCCATTATGCATAGAAACAGCTCACATATCCCAGGGATTCAAACGGGGGTTTCAAATTGGTTGTGAAGGGTCCCAAATGACATCTAGGCCTCAGTTTCCTCCCCGTAGCATAAAGGAATTGCGGTTCTTAACTCTCTGGGTCACAGCCCCCCTTGAAAACTTGCTGGCGGTGGATCCTCATTCCCCTAAAATACACATTTCCAGTAATTTCTGCATACAATTTCAAGGAGTTTGCGGATCTCCAACTCCAATCCAAGGTTCCCAGGTTCAAAATCCAAGGATTGGGCAATTAAGTTTTCTTACAACTAAAAAAAAAACCATTACAAACAATAATCATCCCTTACGAACACCGATGCTTTATAGTTTACAAAGCGCTTTCAATCCCACAAACATGGACAGGCGTAGGAGGAAACTGAGGCGCAGAAAATTACAGAGTGACTTGCCTAAGGTCACTCGGCCAGCTGGTGGCTGGGCCCGGAAGCAAACCCAGCTCTTCCGACTCCGGAGCTTGTCTCCCCACCCCGGAGCTGCCGCCAGAGCTCCTGCCCCTCACTAAGGCGGCATAAGCAGAAAAAGACAAAGTAGAAAGCCCACCACCAACCATCCCCCGGCCCCCTCCTGCCCCCCCAACTGGGTTCTTGCAGGCCCCGAAGGGTGGCGCCAGGCCTCCAGGCCAGCCCCGGCCACCCCCGCCTCCCCGGCCGCGCCAAATCCCGCCGCCGCCGCCTCCCCGGGAGCGGGGCGGAGCAGCTGCCCGCCGCCGCCGACCACCCGGACGACTCCTCGTCGAATCGCAAACGCATAGGCCGCCGCCCGAGTTCTGCGTACGAGAAGAAAGACGCGGCGCGAGCGCCAACGGCCACCGGGCGCGCGCCGCGGCGGCCGGGCCTGCGCCCCAAGAGCTGGATGCCAGAGCAGGAGAAAGAGCCGCCAACCGATCGCTCGATCGACCGCACGCCCGCTCCTTCGCCCTACCAGACCGGGGAGGGGGGGAGGGCGCGCCAGGGCTTCTTCGAGTTAGGGGCCTGACTCCCCGGCGACGAGACAAGATGGCTCCTCCGGTCTGCGCCGCAGCTACCGTCCCGGCTGCGTCGCTCGGCCCGCCCCCGGTACTGTTTCTTTAAATGGCGGAGAGGGTCAGGAAAGCAGGAAGACTGGCGCGAGCTCTCACGTGACAGGGGCGGGCCCGGCTAAACAAGATCCGGTCACGTGGAGACAAGCTACCCACCAATCAAGAGGCGTCGCATCAGGGCGGGGGCGGGAGGAGCTGCGGCTCTGTGATTGGTCGAATGCGCCGCGGAGGCCTCGGGGGCTTGGGGCGTCGGGGAGTGCGCGAGGCGGCCCTCGTTGTGTGCACTAGCGGAGACAAAGCCGTGGCTGAGGTGGCGGTGGCGGCTCCGGCAGCGGCGGCGGGGCAGTCCTAAACGCCGAATTTCGTGGTGCTGAGTCCTGTCATCTATCTCATCCAGCGCGGTGCGCGGGCGGCTGATTTCGCGGCGGCGGCGTCAGCGGCGGAGGCAGAGGCGGCGGCAGCACATGGTTCCAAGAGCGCGCTGCGGTTGTTGGGTTCCAATTCCGTGGGGAGGGACAAAGGCAGCTGCGAGCGCCGGGCAACGCCCGGTCGGGTGGTGTGCTCGCCACTGCCTTGGATCCGGGCCTTGAAAGCTGGGACTATCTCCTCTCTGTGAGGAGGAGGCCACGGGCCGAGGCGCGGGGAAGGCCCAGAGAGGCTGAGTCCTCTGTCTGAGGGAGGTGGGGGAGGGGCGCAGCCCGCCCGAGGTGATTTGGGCGGGTCAGTTCTGAGGCATTTTAGTGGGTCATTGTGAGGTAATTTGACCCACTCCCCTGAGGAGATTGGGGCGGGACAGCAAGCAAGGTTTTGTCTGGGCTTTGAAAACAGAAATCGGCTGTAGCATTTAGATCTTTCAGTTGGGAGGTGGTGAATCCGGAACTAAACGCCATATGCACTCCATCGACATCGTGGTTACCAGTCGGGGGCCCTTTTAAGGATCCTGCAATCATTGGTGGCGAAGACATGGGTGATTGTCCAGATTTATAACAGAAGTTGATAAATTTGCAGATTGGTAAATTTCCTCACAGGACATTTAAAGGAACAACAACAACAAAAGGCTGGAAGAACACGAAGACGGCGCAGTAATAAAATCGCCGACTCCAGAACCATCTACTGCAAGACCATCCACATTCGACTCATTGAACTATCGCAGCTTAACGCTAAAGCTCCTTAAGACTACAGATTTATGACGTAGTTCTTTCCAAAATAATACAACATAGTCGTTGAGAAGATAAAAAAAAAATTTAAAGGAGAAATCAATAGTAGTTTTAGACATCTCTTTGAATATATTTTGGATAGGTACTAGGTAACCTTGTTTAACTGTAAGGAGCACAGACTTACCAAACCTTTACTGGAAAGAATCCTGGGAAATTGATTCCATTGTAAGGTTTATTTCCCAGTTAGTGAGTAAAGGACTTGGAGACCGAAGCGCACTCATGGCTTTCACAAATTACAGCAGTCTGAATCGAGCTCAGCTAACCTTTGAATATCTGCACACAAATTCGTAAGTATCCTATAGGTGCTACTGAGGTCACTGATAACTCATTCCTTGGTATTAATATGGAAATCTTTTTCCCAGAAAATTTTGCCTTTTTCATTTTTGGGATGTATCACTGGATGAGTCTTGAGCTCGGTATTGAAGAACTGAGATCAGTGAAATATTTGTTGCTAATCCGGAAGAATATGATCTTCATTTATTGGATCAAAATTTATTTGGTCAAATGAAAACTAGTTATTTGAAGTCAATATATTGAGTTGTTTCATTCAAGTATTTGATGGGAATCCAGCAAGTACTGTTCTTTGGATCAAGAAAACTTGGACTGTTCTAGTATCAACTCTTTCTCCTCTTTAGTGACAACAGCTGAAACAGTTGGGTTATAGCAAGTCTTCTCTTTAAAACAAGGAAAAACGAAAAGAATGAAGACATTTGATTGACCACTTGTGAGAAGAAATTAGTAGTTTATTTTATTTCCATGAACAGTTGGCTTTATCTTCCTGGAAAATTGATCCCTACATCCAGTATAGTTTGTATATGCTAAGCAGGAAATGCCAACTTGTTTAAACCCATGATTTAAATAGCCTTTCCCCAAAATGTGTGCAAATCACAGAACACGTGCTGTGTTCATAGTTCTTCAGTTCATGGAGAGATTACCATCACCCCACTTTGGTCTGGAATGTTTCAGGGTTAATCCTTATGTCCACTGTCTCAGAAGTAATCCAATGGGGTCATAACTAGTTAGTGTTTTAATACATTCATTCATCACTTTTGAGGTGAAGGTAAGTATTCTACCATTTTAGTTGCTGGAGAAGTGATTAGCAGCTAAATGAATGGTCCAGAGATCTGAAGAACCACCTTCAGGGTTTAGCATATAGACTTCAATTATTTGGTAACAGTGCAATAATTTTTAGTCTTTTATGGGAAAGGACAACATATTATTTGTGATAAAGTCTGTAATTTTTTGTTTGCTGTTTTTCCTACCAAGGAAATAAAAATTTTCTGAATAGTGAAGTGAATTATCAAATTATCAGAATCTGATTTTATTTTGATTTGTTTAGGACATTTCTTATTGAACAAGAGCGTTTTACAGTAGGTACCTTAGAGGTCATCTAGGCAAATTCTCATGCTATGGATGATGAATCTGAAATCCAGTTACATAAGGTTGCTAATCAAAGGTTACTTATCTAGTTGGTAACATAACCTTGGGAAGAACTTTGAATATCCTTTTTTGTATTTGAACTGCCATGTTAAGAACAAGCAGTTGAAGGCCACTTAGATGTTCACAGATGATTGTGTTTGATAAATGGTTATCTCAGTTCTGAATTTTGGAATGAGGGGCCAAATTTGGAATGACTATAATTTTGGAAGACCATGAACTGGGACTTCAGAAACTGAGTTCTTGTTCCATCTTCCCCAAAGACTCTATTTCATGGTAACATATAGGCATACCTCATTTTATTGTGCTTTGCTTTATCGTGCTTCACAGATAACTGTTTTTTACAAGACCCTCTACCCACAAAAAGATTACGACTTGCTGAAGGCTCACATGATGGTTAGCATTTGTTAGCAGTAAAGTAGCTTTTAATTAAAGTACGTACATTATTTTTTTTTGACGTAATGTTATTGTACACTTAATAGACTACACTGTAGTGTAAACATAACTTTTATATGCACTGGCAAACCAAAAAATTTGTGTGACTCGCTTTATTGCGATGTTTGCTTTGTTGCAGTGGTCTGGAACCAAACCTGCAATGTCTCCGAGATATGCTTGTAATGGTAACAACAGTTGTTTCATGTTAGTCACTGTTTTAAACATGGTTGAAAGTAATCTTTATAGTAATCCTGCAGGAGTAAGGATTATTCCTATTTTACGTTGAGGAAACTGAGGCTCAAAGAGATTTAAGTTATATGCCAAAGGTTACAGAGCTGCTAAGTGGCAAATTTAAGGCAATAAGATCTGGCCACAATGGTTAGTAGTTTTAATGATTAGGCAGTACTGACTAGTTAATTTTACCTTCAAAGGCTTGTTTCCTTGTCTATAAAGCAAAAGGCTTACTTCCCGCTTTAAAAGTCTTCAATTTTAGTTTATCTCAATGAGCCTCTAATTTGAGGATTCTGGGATATTTCTTTTGCTATTTTATAGTTTATTAACAATAGGTGGACAGATCCAAGGCAAAGAATCAAACCTCAGTTTAGTCACTTGTTTAAAGTGAAATTGGAGAATTTTCTATGAATTTGACTTACCATGTTGAACTGGAACCACCTACTTGCATGAACTTTTGCGAGTTGGATGTATCATTTTGGAAGCTTTGGAATTTTTTTTCTGGATCACACCTTTGAAGTTGTCTACTTTTGAATGTGACCAGTCCTGCCAAAAGAAACTATGAACTCTAGAACATCAAGATAAGTTTTTGGTTTGTAACCAATTTCAAGAGATTTCTTTATTGTGGTGACCTAACTGGAAGTTCATTTCTAGAGGAAACAGATTTTTAGGTTTTCATAAGATGTGACTTGTTACTCGTGGTGATGGTAGATATAGCTCCTCTGTGTCAAGTAGTATAACGTGACCTTCAGAGAAGGGAACGTGTCTTACAGTACCATCTCCTTTGTTATAGTTTTTAAAACGCAAGACCATTTTAGGGTATCTGACATTTACAATATTGCCATATTGTGAATTATGAAAGAAATGATCCTTTACTTACCTGCCATTTAATATAGACTTGCAAGCAGAGCCAGGCTAGAAGGGTGGAAATCAGTGTGGTGCAGTGGAAAGAGCATGGGCTTTGGAGCCAGCCAAGCTTGGATTTGACTGCTTCCTGGCTGTGTCCTTGGGCAGGTCAACTTCTCTGAGCCTCAGTTTCTTCATCTATAAAATGGGGCTAGTCTGACAGACAGCGTTTATGAGGATTTTGTAAAATAATGTATATAAAGTAATAGCTCACACTTGGTACATAGTAAACATTGAATAGATGATTATTATTTGTTTTATTCATAATATTAGCTTATATAAACCAAAAGTTGATCGTTGTGGTAGCAACTTGCTGTTTGGTGCTAGTCATTAGGCAAATAAATTCTTAGTAAATTCTGGAGCATCTGTTGGAGATAATAAATATCTGTCTTGAATTCTTTTTTGTATTAGGTCTGTGATAACTATTGATGGTTATTCTCTTGGTTACATCAGCATTCAAGTTTAAAGCAGGCCTGGGAAATTCTCATTATGATATGAAAGTCTTAGGCTAATTTCTTTTAATCCTGGATATTGCTAGTAGGAGATGATAAAAGATAGGGTTTTTAAATAAAAGGAGTTTTATGCTGTTATTACTCTTGGGTGGTAGGTTTAGTGACTGCTAGTAAAAAGTTCATGAGAAATCTAGGTGCTAGATTCCATATGTAGTGGTGGTAGTGATGTTCCATTGGCATAAGATGTGAATCTTAAGTCACTCCGCACTACTACTAAGTGGTCTGATACAGCAGGGTGCTTCGGCATAAGATGCCTGCTTTCTTTTTTTTTTTTTTTTAATAATTTTATTTATTTATTTATTTTTCCCCCAAAGCGCCAGTAGATAGTTGTATGTCATAGCTGCACGTCCTTCTAGTTGCTGTATGTGGGACGCAGCCTCAGCATGGCCTGAGAAGCGATGCGTCGGTGCGCGCCCGGGATCCGAACCCGGGCTGCCAGCAGCAGAGCGCGGGCACTTAACCGCTAAGCCACAGGGCCGGTCCCAGACGCCTGCTTTCTATGTCTGTTCCTGTTGGCACGTTTAGTAACTTATTATCTTGGCTGTATAATATTTTTGGGTTGTTTTATCCGTATGTGAAGTTAATGTAGAGGAACCTATCAACTCTAGGGACAGTATTTCTAATGACTTATAATCCTATTGAATTGTAGGTTCACAATCTAAATATACTAAAGCTATTCAAATGTAAACTGGTTGCTCTAGAATTTCTCTGCTTTATTTTCTAGCGATTAAGGCAATTAACTCTTGTCAACATATCCAAGAACTCAGCAGAAGCTATCACTGTATGATGGGCTTATGGGTTTAAATCTGTTGGTTTAAATTCAGGCTGAATATAAATAGGGAGACCATTTTCTTTATATAATGAATAGATTTACACGTGAATTGTTACTGGAAATGCTGAGCTGCAAAACTATTTCGTTAGTGGCACAAATGGTATAAAAGCCATGAAAAGCTGAAAGAGTTTGTTAAAAATTTTTGTGTTTTTTGAGATGGTTGATCTTTCTTGGATCACATGCAAAGGATCTTCAGGTCTGTGAAGTAACGAATTTCCTTTGATATTTATTCAAGTATCTCTCTCAAATGCTAGCCGGCAATGAGTACACCTCTTTGAATGTTATTTGAAAAAAAAGGGAGAACTTATGCAGTTGATATGTTTTGGTTCTTATGATTTTAACATATATTTAGAACTCTGGCGTTAGCATTTATTGGTAGGATCAATTAATCAGTTGGAGGTCTGGAGAAGATTCTGAGTTTTGTCACAAAGGGCCACTTTTATGATGTGTCAGTATACATCACAGAAGTGCCCCTTAGCTACATTTTAAAGACATCTATTAACTTACCTGAACTATGTATGTGTGGAACAGCATTGATACTGTATGGAACAGCGAAGACCATTTGGAATGTTTTCTTTAGATTCTAAATGTACAAGGCACATTTCTAAACATTATATAGAAAGCAGTGAAAACTTGGCCAGAGGTGCTTTGTGCTTACCCTTTTGAGATCTTACTGAATTCAAAATGTCTCTCATTTTCATGTGAAGCAATCAGAAATATGTATTGCTGAGAAGCAGTTTCTATTTCTATTTTTGGTTTCTTTGCCCTGATGGGAAAGGTTATTAGAATTAGTTTTCCAGATTATTTGTATTTACCATTCTCACTGCCAAAAGCTAGATATTTCATTCTTTAATTTATTTATTCCAAAGATATGTGCATACAAGTTGTAGTCTCATTGTTATTATGATTGTGTTCTTGTTTTTTCCCAGGAGCCTAAGTTTAAGTACAGATTCTTATTGAAATGAGAAGTACTGCAATAGAATTTGTTATTTTATATTTTTATATAACACTCTTCAAAATTAAAAATTTAGAGAGTAGAAAACTAATTTACTCTGTAAGTTTCTCAGTCACTTTTAAGTCAGACGAAAATAACTGGTTGAAAGCTTGAGAGCAAACATTGTTACTTTTTTTTTTGTTTTTCTGGTTTTTGTTTGTTTTGTCCTATGTACCATTTTTTTTATTGATGTTTTAATAGTTTATAACATTGTGAAATTTTGGGTTGTACATTTTTGTTTGTCCATCACCATATATACATCTCCCTTCATTCCTTGTGCCCACCCCCTACCCCCATTGCCCCTGGTAACCACAATACAGTTTTCTCTGTCCATGTGTTGGTGTATATTCCACATATGAGTGAGATCATACAGTGTTTGTCTTTCTCTTTCTGGCTTACTTCACTTAACATAATACTCTCTAGGCCCATCCATGTTGTTGCAAATGGGACGATTTTGGTTAGACGTTTTTTAACTTATGTTACTGTCAGCAAATTACCTTAATTTTCCAGCTTATTTCTCCCTATTTCTTTAGTGGAGTAATCTACAGAATACTTTTATGTTTCTTCAATTGATAATTTGAAGAATTTAAGATGATGATTCTAGAGACTTAAATATTTTTAATAATTAAAAAAGATATGGATGTTTTATGCAGGTTTTTCTCTTAGAAATTTTTTTTGTGTGTAAAATAATTAAGACTTGAATTTTTTTGGCCAGAAGAATTTGAGCTCTATTTTCTAGGTGAATTAGAGATAAAATTTCTACCTTTTGTTAGAATGTATTTATTGGTGCTGCCCCTGGATTAGCAACAGATATATTCACTGATCTCATGGGGAAAAGTTGCTTCTAAAATTCCAAGAACTGGTAGTTTTAATTCAAAATTTGTGTTTGTAAAAATTTGAAGATTTACTTGAGGGAAAACCGGTGTTCAAGGACAGTTCAGTTTTGGGTATTTATTTTATAAAAAAATGTTTCACAATTTATTTTAAACAATATAGTAAGTGATCAGAGATCCTAGATGCTGGTTATTTAATATTGGTATATTTCATTGTAAATTTTTAGAAATTTTCACTTTATCTACTGGCTGAAACTGTACAAAAAATCAGCTGGAATAATTTGGTTACTTTTGAAAAATTGATGGTGATGTATTATGTGGATTAATGATTTTATATTTCTTTAATCAAAAGCCAAGATTTCTCGGTGGACACATCCTACTTTTATATCTAATGAAGATTATTATGGGAAATAGCACAAATTAAAGAGAGTGTAAATGGAGTAAAAATTGTAAGGATACATTTTATGCATAAATATCATCTTTATTGAGTTCTGAATAACATAGTACTTGTGTATTTACCCAACGCAAACTTCGAGCAGCCTGCTGGAGGAGATGACCATTGGCTACCCTCCTTGAAGAAGTTAACTTTAACAGGGGCCCTAGGAGACCACACCCATCTCTTGTCTTCCTAGGAGGAATTATTCAAGAGGGTCTTGGATTCCTTTCTTTAATGTGGAGAAAGTTCTGTTTTTAGCCAGAATCAGAGAAAGTCTTCTCACTTTGAAATGGAATATTTTTGCTTATAAATTGCACAACTGTGGATGGGTTTTCTTTTTCTTTTTTCTTTCTTTTTTTTTTTGCTGAGGAAGACTGGCCCTGAGTTTACATCTATTGCCAATCCTCCTCCTTTTTTTTTTTTCCCCCCAAAGCCCCGGTAGATGGTTGTATGTCATAGTTGTACATCCTTCTAGTTGCTGCATGTGGCACGCGGCCTCAGCATGGCCGGAGAAGTGGTGCGTCGGTGCGCGCCCGGGATCCGAACCTGGGCCGCCAGCAGCGGAGCGCGTGCACTCAACCGCTAAGCCGCGGGGCTGGCCCTGGGTTTTCTTTTTCACCAGTAGATCACACACAAGTATTGGTAAAGCAGAAGGCTAACAAGTTGTCCATTGAGCATGCCTTAGAGATGCAGAAACTGACAGCTGGTTAAGACAACGAAAAATAAAATACAGGCATTTTTCTAGGCAGAATATGAATAGTGAAAAACACTGCTTTTAGCAGTAGTACACATAGGAATCTTTACTGCTTCAGAGTGGATTTTACTATGGAACATAGAATCAACATTTCTGAGTAGATAGCAGGACTTGATAGATTAACACTTGACAGGGATTAGCGAGCTCTGGAAAGACTTGAATTTCGGAGAAGTTTAAATTTCAGTAGTGTAAATCGACAATGCAAATGGCGATTTTAGATTTTTATCTAAAACTTTAATATTTTATAACCTTGACTTTTTATTAGGTGTCATAGTTCAATCCCGTAATTCTTTTGCTAACTCTTAGTATTTATCATTTCAGAACGACTCATGAATTCTTGTTTGGTGCTCTTGCTGAATTGGTTGATAATGCAAGGTATGTAGTCTTCAGGCTTAGAGTCTTTGCTTGAAAACTTTTTTGGTCGTTGTGACTTTTGGTTTCTGAAGACTTGGGAGGAAGGCAATTCTGTAGCAAGCTGCAGCTCACTCCTGAGAGGCTTCTTATGCAAAAAGTATTTTTAATAGCACGTTAGTTGATACTTGCACTTTACTTGATTAACTTTAATTCATTCATTACTCTGTGTTCCAGCTTAAAAATAGTAAACTTATGACCTCCAAAGCTACCTTCCCTTGTGTATTAGAGCAAGATAATTATAGTGAAACGCAGGGAATTAAGATAGAAACTTAGGAATCAAATTAATGGGATGAACAAGCTCTGATTTAATTTGTGCTGCAGGACAGTACACCATCTAATGTCTTTGAAATTATGGCCAAGAGTTCTGTGTCTTCCCAAAATGTATGTTTTATTGTTAGATGACTCTAGTTGATCAAAGCATCTTCCACTGTTAGCAGCTGTGCTTGGAAGAAATCATTCTTCAGCACTGTGTTATACTGAATTTTGAGTGATGGATACCTAGAAATGTTACTGTGCAAGACTGAAAAGAGTTTGAGTTGGTTCAGAGATAAACAAATAGCAAAGTCCAAATCAAGATTCTGTTTATCATTATATTATGAAAATATTGTCTCAGTCTTGTGTCTGAATGCAAACATAAAATTCAGACACATTGTTTATTGACCAGGTGTTGATGACTAATGAAAGACTAAGAGGGTGAGTTGACAGTAGAAGTATTTTCTAAACAGATCTCCAGTTAATGAGCTTGCTGATAATTTTCTTTGTCTATCTATGTCTATACCATAAACCTGTACTATTATTACTTTTATTGTTATTATTCTCTGGACTGCTCATGGAAGTGTGCTATATAACAAGTTGTTTAACCAGAAAATTCCCATTGTGTTTCAATCCTGGTTGACTCATAATTTTTATATTCACTTTGAAAATGTTATAGCTTAATGAAATTGTGTTTGAATTTGCCACTTGTTAGCTTAGTGAGACCATGGTATGCTGTGGCAGACTGCTTTGTAGTATATTATATGGTGAACTGGAGAGTTCCTGGGAGTATGTGTTCCTGCTCATGCACACATTTTGCCAATCTTTCACATATTAGAAAATGTTTTTATATGTTTGGGAATAGGTACCTGTAGAGCTGTATGGATTTGAGGGGATTTTTTGCATTTAAAACCAATGAAACTCTCTGTGCCTCATTTTCCTTGCCTCCAGTTGGCAGAATTGGACTAGATTACTTCCAAACCTTTATGGATGCCTTCATTGATGACTGAACTTGTATTTCACTGATGGCTGGAGTATAATGGGGTGCCCTAACTTCCTTTCAAAGTTAGGGAGGATCAGATTATGGGCTTGTGAATCAGTCTGCTGACTGTAGTGTGTATACTGTGAGACCTGACTTTTCATAGGCTTTGTGGCAGATTATTTTTTTCCTTTTTTCCTCAGTATTTTGGTGAGAAGGAAAAATGGACGTTATTGGAACATTTTTTATGATTGCAATCAAATGAGTGAAACACAGATTTGAGTCATTTCTTAGTGTGTAAAGGGAAATGTTCTTATCCTCTAGATGTTTCAGCTAAGAAATTTGTATTAAAAAAATGTATCCAGGTCCTGTGCGTCATGTGATTATTTTAAATAATTTGGAGCTCCAGAAGTGTTTCATAGACATATAAGGAAAATTGTGTTGCCCAGTTTGAAAGTATAGCTTTAAGGTACACCAAATTTCTGTATGATTTTCTGAAAATAGACTCAAAATTGTATGTATCCCACTTAAAATACTGTGCATTTTGATGATTGATATTTCATATTCTCATTTGGATCTTGATTTTTTTCTTTTAATTTTGCAGAGATGCTGATGCCACCAGAATAGATATTTATGCAGGTGAGACAGACGTCAGTCCTTTCTTCTAATGCCTAGTTCCTTTCAATGCATTTATTGCATGCCTAAGAAGAAATGAGTGGGAAATAACTGGTTACTGGAACTTGGGCAGATGACATGATTACTCCAAGTCTTAGGTAGAAACAGGGCAGCCCTTGTCAGGCATGTAATAGAAACCAAAAATATCGGTGTAAAGAAACTAATGTGGGGTGCCCAGATCTATAGATCTCTTTAAATAGCCACCAGGAGATTTATGGGGATGATGGGAGTAGAGTAGTGGGGAGTGAAATAACCAAGTACCAGTGATTTTACTGGTTGGAGTTAGCAGGTGACCAGTTTGTAGCAGGTGACCTGCAGCCAAAGAGAGATCTTGTTGAAGGCCATTTTCTTCCTTTGCAACCTTCGTCAGGACAAGACCCAACTTGGAGAGTTGCTGTTGTCAATTGCATAAAACAGCTGAGTAACTGGGTTGATACAGAGGTTTGCAGAGGAGATGTTCTCAGACAGAGGTGTCAGGTAGGAAGGAGGGCTTCTTTGCTTGAAATTTAAAGATATTGTCAGCATCTACTGTTTTGCTTATTTAACTGGCTCTGCTGTTGGGCAGTAAGATCTTTTGTTTTTTTTCTAGAGTAGGTACAATAGTGGAAGAATTCTTAGTCATTATCATTGGCCTTTTTTTTTTTTTTTAAATAGTTTGCTTTCTGCCTGTGCATTGTTTGTACCAGCATGTTTTTTGGTCTTTTGAATGCTAAAAATTTGCAAGTGGAATAGAGGAAGATCGTTTTTAAATCTAATTTGGCTAGCATGATCTGTTTTTCTGACAGACTTTTCTGAAGTCTTCTGAAAGGTTTGAAGTAATATTTTAAGTAATACTGACTAGCTTCTGAGAAGACTTGAGTGTTTTTGTGGGACTATACAGTTACCAAATGACCCCTCTTCTTCTTCTTGGATCCATTTGATAAATGGGAACAAGTACACAACTAAGAAGTAATTCTCAGAACCTCCAGTGTCGTATAATTAAGAAAAATCTCTGAGTTTTAATGAATTTCTCATGCCTGATGTACTGTGGAGCAAAGAAAATATTCAGAAGAGCTAAAACTCAGCTATACTGCTTAAATTCTGAAAGCCTTTATTCAAAAGGCTCTGCCAAAGTGGTGGAAATAGGACTCCTTTTATTTTTAGAAGAAAGTAACAGGAAAAAGGGGCACAGCAGAAGAATGTTAAAAGATGGTTACTAAACCCTCAGGCCAGATGGAGGTGCCATTCCCAAGCTACAGTGTGTATCTTACATCTCATTATGCTTTAGTGAGGTGTAGTAACGGCTACCTTTGAAAGAAACGGCAGCTGTTTTAATCGTTGTACAGATGGCAAAGCAGAGAATGGGCCTCTACTCCAAGTGGTGTCAAAGGGACAAATCATTATAGCTAGTCTATTTGGAAGAAGCTTTTTAAAAAACATCATCTCTGTCTCCTCCTACCGCCTTTGGTGGGTGAATTTCAGCAAGGAAATTTAGTCCTTTATACTCAGAATGCACCAGAACAGCTGTATTTCACCGTAAATGAAAAAGGCCCAGGGTGCATTTAGTCTGTGCTCAGTGTTACTCCTGTTGTGCTTTGGGAGGAGTCTAGAGAGAATGAAGTGGGGCCTTTGCTGAGTTCTCATGAGAGAACTTAGTCTCTAATTAGAGAGACAGTTAGCACTCTACAGATGATTAGAGAACAATAACTCGATCTTGAGGGAACTGTCAAGGCAGTTAAGGATTAAATGGTGTGATAGAAGCACTAAGCACTATAGCGTTTTGGAAAAAGACTTGATTTACTCCAAGTACCTCAAGATTGGGAGTCTTGGCTGAGGTGTCCTTAACTTCACACTTTTCTAACTCAGTGCCTTATTATTAACATATTCAACAGCAGGGAAAAAAGCAACTTCATTTTACAAGTAGAATAATAAATTAGTAATATGTTAATACTATAAAGTTCTTGTTGTTAGTACATGGGAGAAAGTATTGCCCTGTCTCCCATTCTGAAACTAGGTTGATACTGAACTTGGAAATCTCCCCAAACATCAAAGGTAGCTTGAATTCACCATAATGTCACATTTTAAAAGATTGTATTTAAACCTAAGAAGGGTGAGAAAGAAATCAATCAGACTCTCAAAGTGTAGAGGTGTTCACTTATCCAACGTATTCCAGTTAGATGGGGCGAGACCATAATGTGCCTGTCAGAAGTAGACTGTTTTTTTATTAACTTTCTCGACTTCCTTGGATAGGGAGTGCTACTCCTCAAGGAAAGATCCCTTTTGTGTTGCCAATTCAATGGTTAGTAAATGGAAAATTAGAGCAAATGTAACTGAAATGAATACTGCTCAAACAGATTGCAAAGTACGATGAACAACGTGGATGTCATTTTATTACAGTCTCTGCTCAGGACATTATTATATCATCTCTGACTTCTGACTTATAGCTCCATTTTACATCTCTTCTCCCGCTTCTTTCTTTTTCCTATCTTCTCCCCACTGGAGTTGGGTGGAGGGATGTCAGGCTAATTTGGAGAAGCCAGACTTAGCTATGTTGGGGGAAACTTAGCTGTACAGATTTCCAAACTGGTTCTGATAACCTTACATAGCTGCTACCGGGATCTGAAGCACAACTGCAAAGAAGGCAGTTTGGCTTTGCCCTCCCTGTCTTGCTTCCAAGATGTATGATGGTAGGGGGAGAATACAACTCCCAGCTGCTTAGACTCTCCTCTGTCCAGAACTCCCCCTCCTTCGTCAAAATCCTTGCTTTGGAGGCTTCAGATCTCACTCAGTTGAATGATTAGAGTAAGTATCAGGTGTTAGGAATGCATCTCTAACAGGTGGAATATCTGGGGAGATAGTTTTGAACAGGGAAACCTAGTTCTTGCTTGCTCTAGCTCAGTGCTTCTCAGAGTGGTCCACCAATGGACAGTATTGGAATCACCCAGAAATGTGTTAGAAATGCAAATTCTCAGGTACTACCTCAGACCCACACAATTAGATTCTCCAGGGTGGAGCTTGTATTTTAACAAGCTCTTCAGGTGATTCTTAGGCACGCTACATTTTGCTCTAGCTGATACTCTTCTTAGTCTCCTTCCACTTAAACCCTCCTGCTTACCTGATCTGCTACAGAGAGTAGCATCCATTGGACTGTAAGCTCCGTGAAGGCAGTGCACATCTACATTGTTCACTGCTGTTATCGCAGAGCCAGGAACATAGGTAGTGCTCAGTAAATGTTCACTGAATAAATGAGTGATTGGGATCAGCATTGTAGCCAGGTGAAGACGCCACACTGCCTGTTTACAAAGTTGAAGTTACTGCTGTGTTAGCGAGTCTTTCTTGGCCCTGAGGTCAGTTGCACATGACCATCGACCTGGACAGCTGCTTACAGGCTGTTGGTCACTATGTGGCCAGGAGGATCCTCCGCAGGTGGGTCTCCTACCATCATAAACCACATGAAAAAGCTTTGAAATGAAGTCCTTAAGCAAGAAAGGGATCTCAGATCCACTGTTAAGTGATGATTGTGTGTTAAAACAGTGTGCTGAGTCCTGTTCTAACAAACACAGGGGCCTAGAAGTAACTTCCTAGGTAGTGTTCAAGAAATGCCAGTAATCCTTGGGAACTTTTCAGATGCACTTGGTCTGAACCAGTTTCTAGATTTCAAAGCAGTCTTCGTGTACATTTTATGGCTCAAGTGTACAGTGTACAGCAAATGGCTCTGGGCTAGATTTAGAATACTTCTTTTCCTATGCTCTGTACCTGACCCAGTTTGAGTCTCCATATGACACTTTGCTTCCTCCAGAAGGAAACTTTGAAGCCTTTTTGCATTTTTTTTGCACTCGCTCCTGCTTGCTAGGTTTCATTTGGATTCTCCAGACTCGAAGAGGCACTGCCACAAGGAGAAGTTTTCCTATCTACCAACAGTACTTCCAAGAAGGACCTTGCCCTTGAACTTTCAAGAAGCATTTGTTATTAATGTTTCAGCAAAGTTCAGCTTCCTGAACACTGAGTGATACTTGAAAATCTCTGTGGTTTATAGTACTTCTGAAATACTGCTTTAAATTACATTAACTAGTCCATTTAACAGAAAGCGGTCATGACTCATTTGAATCTTTAGCCTGAGGGGAGGACAAAGAGCTTTCTAAACTGAGATTCCTCAGCTTAGATAAGTTGTATAAAGTTGGTGAACTGCAGCTTGGAGCAGACAAAAAAGTCCTCAATTAGGAGCTGGGCTCCAAAGCAGTCTTGGGTTTGTCCCCGTAGTACCTTACACAGACCTTTCTTTTAGTAGAAGTGCTTTCCTGATTCCAAGGCCCGTGCTGTTCCTCCTTTGCCCACCTAGTCCTCATCATTGGGTCAAAAGGCACCTTGGAAACTCTAGTCTTGCCCCCTTGCCTATTTGGGAATCTCCTCTCCAGTGTCTGTGACGTGCTTGGACTCAGACTACTTTGAGTAACCTCTTGCCACTGCAGAAGACAGCTGCTGAAAGGAGGTTCTTCTGCTGGAATGGCAGCCACAGTCTGTTGTGTTCTCTTCCTCTTGGCCAGGAAGGCCTGTCGTAGCTGCTCTGTGTCTTATTGTCAAAGGACTGTTCCTCCTTCCAGTCCCAAGCAGGTCCAGCTGGGAACCAGGCAGCTCTCACTGCACCCTCTGCCTTCTCACTCCTGGGTTGAGGAGCCATTTCAACGACCCATAGCAAGCAGGGGATACGATGATGAATATAGATAGCCCAGAAACTGCACTTAGCCTGGGGATAGTCACATAGAGACATGGTACTTCATCATCTCGATAGCAGCTGCCACCACTGTGCCCATAGCATGTCTGGCTTGATCTCTTTGTCTGAAGGCTACCCCAAACTTAACCACAAAGGAGGTGTTCTGTTGAATTTGAGCAATGTTGATAAGGTACAGCATATAGTAGTTGGGGTATTTTAGTGACTTGAGGTCTATAGCAGAGGGCAGAGGTGGAAGTAATCCAGGTGGAGAGGGGCAGAAGGATGATTGAGGTATGTGTGGAAACATGCATATTCAGTGGTCCTGGGTGTGGTTAGATGCTGAACCACTTATTCCCTGCCCTCCTTTTAGATTCTGCCAGGCTTTTTCAGTAACCAGAAAGCATTGGAGAACATTTGGTGGGAATTCTTGCCCACAAGGGCCCTGATGTTTAACTTGCACTAGCTAGAACTGTTAGAAGGAGAAGCTAGGTTTGACTTGACCTTTTTGGACCAAGCTTCACATTGATCAACCTTCTGATCATATCCATGTTGTCGCCCACTGGTGGGTAACCACCCAGTAATGGCAGCTGCTTTTTTTACAGAAAGGCGAGAGGACCTTCGAGGAGGATTTATGCTTTGCTTTTTGGATGATGGAGCAGGAATGGATCCAAGTAAGCAAGATGATTGCTGCTTTTGGGGAAGATGTAACCATTTTTACAAATACTTATGTTAACCTGTTTTTCTGTTGCCTCACTATTGTGATTAGAAGATCCACCTGGGGAGAGAAGTCTGTTGCCACATCTCAGGCTTAATTGCACTAATGGATTTGCCGGGTCTTGTCCTAGCATGAGAGATAGGGTCTGGATGGCAACCTGAAGTCAGTCAGATTACCTGCCTCTTGACATTGTATTTATCAGCTTGTACCACATCCTAGAGCTGGAACTACAGCGGCCTCCCCTAGCCTTATAACCAGGTTCTGGTAACAGAACAAAGTCAGTGATGGTGGTACTGACAGGCCAGTCAGAGGTTGCCTCCATTTGCCTCATGGTTGTGAATTTCCTGGGACAGAGGTTTTTAATAGACAAACAGCCCTGCTTGGATTTATTAAGGCTCAGACCTTTGATTTTTTAGGAGCCTGGGAAAGAAATGGCAAACTTCTCACTTTCTCTTCTGCCTGCCACTTCAGGTGATGCTGCCAGTGTTATCCAGTTTGGGAAGTCAGCCAAGCGAACGCCTGAGTCCACCCAGATTGGGCAGTACGGGAATGGGTTAAAATCGTAAGTATACTAGAAGCCTGTCACAGGACTCAAAACAAAATCACTCATTGCTGTCATGCTTCTGTCCAGTGAAAACTTTCCTTTCTTGTCCCTCCATCATTGTAACTCTGGAACAGAAGGAAAGTCAGAAAGGAGTAGTGGTTTGGGGACTTACCAAGTGTTGTCCAGCCTAGTTTACTTCACAGATTGAAAAGTATGAACATCCGAAACCAGTTGGAGTGGGAGAAGTTGTAGGTTTCTCTTGGCACTGTGCTCTGGAACCTCTCCTCTTGTTGAAAATTCTTATTTTTATCCTATCCTTGAGGATGCAAGTGATTGTTTTGTCGGCTTGGGATGTATTTGAGATGGTGAGGGGATCGCTTCGTAGCCCAGCGGTATTCCCTGAGCACATGCCACATGTCACACTTTGGGCTGGGCACTGGGGATCCAGGGTGAGGGAGAGAGACCCCCGAAACCTCCTTCCCAGAGGACATGGTCTCGACTCACATGTCCTGCTAGGCCCTGTAGCAGGGGCCTACCTAATGTCTTCAAATCCCTTGAGACTTCTTTCTCAGTCCTTGGTTCCCACTTGTTTGGTGTTTGGAATGTGTTGTTCTGGTTTTGAGTGAAGCCCCAAGAGAAGGGTTTCTATTTCTGAAATGCTCACTTCCAGCTGTACATACCTTTGGATGGAATAAGATTTAGTGGAATTGGAGTTTGTACCAATGGAATTCTGGGTCACGTTTCCAGTCCTGCTGTGGAAATGTGTTGTTTTGTTTGAAATAGGGCGTTGGTTTGGTCAGTCAACAGCATCAGTTGTCCCTCACGTGCAGTGTGCTTTGGGTGCGTGGGGAAGAAAGTGCTTTCAAAGACGTCAGGAACCTGGTACCTCGACTTTTTGATTTGTCTCTCAGGGCAGGAACCAAATGGTAATAACAAGCACTTACCATGTGCCAAGCACTATGCTAAAAACTTTACTTGGAAATCTCGTTTAATCCTCACTATAGCCCTATGTGGTGTAGGTACTATTATTCTCATTTTCAGATGAGAAAATTGAGGTTTATAGGGGTAAAGTGACTTGCTGAAAGATGTAAAAATGCCCAAGTGTAGAGCCGAGACATGAACCAGGTCTTTCTGACTTCAAAGCTGGAGCTGCTGTCTGTCTCACTTCAGTCAGACAAACTGACGTTTAAATCTCATCTCAGCCACTTAATTATTTCTCTGAGCCTCAGCTTCCTCCTTTGTAAATTGGGATTATAATACATACCGAGTCAGATAAGGATTAAATGCTATCATTGCTGTAAGAGCCCTAGCCTGGTTTCTGGCTTCTATTTTATTTCTCCTTCTTTAATCCTTCCATGGCAGATTCCTGGCCTGATTCAGTGAGTCTGGGTTATGGCCTAGGAATCTGTGTTTCTCATAGGCTCCCCAGGTGATTCTGATGTGGGTGATCCTAAGTCCCCAGTAACTGAGGTCTCCTAGAGTCAGTGTGATGTAAGAAACTCTGACTTGCCATCTGGATTGTAGGCCAGCCTGTTCCTGCCTGGTCTTATCAATTCTGTGGCCTCAGGCAAGCCATTTCACCTCTCTGAATATCTGTTTCCTAATCCAGAAAATGGGGTTCTAATCTGTGACATTCTCCCTTACATGGCAAGTTTTAGGTGCAAATGAAATGTGACTCTGAAAGTGCTTAGAAGACTGGGAAGGAAAGCATACCAAAGTTGAGAGTGTTGTCATTAGCGTAGTTTAGTAGACCAGCTTTTGTAAAGAACCCATTGAGATGGAGCCATCTAGTGTTCAGAGTGTATTAATTTTGAAACCAATTCAGAAGTTGAAAAAATTTTAGGAAGAAGTGATTTGTGGTGCGAATAGGGCTGAGAAGCAGGGAAGCCAGCAAAGAAGTGGCATTTTTGGATTGTTGCTATTCAGCCTACAAGGTCAGAATCAAAGACAGAGGGAAGAAAGAGGCACAAAGAGAGTTTTTGCCCAATTAGGGCAAGAGTAAGCTTTGACAGAAGGCAAGGTAAGGTGCCTCATTTTGCCACCAGTAAGCTTCAGAAAGGAAGGAGGAGGACTGTGAAAACGTCAAGGGAAGGAGCATTGCCAGCACCTTGGGAACTGGAGGAGAAGCAGAACTTGGCAGCCCCCAGGGTGTCTGGATAGTGTCCTGGGAGTTCTCCTGAGCATTTGGGGAAATGGGACATGGCATTCATTTGTGTGCTTGGCCTGCCAGCCTGGTTTGTGTTTGTATATAAAAGAGAGTAATATGACTTCCCACTGCCGTCACCTCCCTGGGCTATTATAAGGACTAATGAGATAATAGCCATAAAGCCCCAGAAGCTGCTCAGAAGAAAGGAGCTAAACAGCCTCATTGTTTGGTGGGCAGTCTTCCTACCGGTGCTTCATGCTTTTGCCCTGTTCCATGCTGCCTAGAAAGGCCTGTCCTTGCCTGCTTCTCAAGGATGGTTTAATGGGGCCAAACAGAGAAAGGAAGCAGTTGATTCCATTCAGACTTTTTCCTTGTGGAAGTCAGCCTCAAGGCACATTTCCCAGAAACCTGTTGTGTCCCAAAGCAAGGACCTGCCTGTGTCAAAATGAACTTGAGATGACAAAACAACTCTGAGACAGAAGATGACTGTAGTTATAGGACATGAGCTAATTATAGGCCTCGTCAGAAACTGTGGTCAAGAATTATATTTTGTGTGGTTAGCCCCTACATTTGGCTGAGCCTTGGGGTCGTACTGTTTTTTTTTTTGAGGACTTGTGAGCATAGGCAGTGGGCTGTTCCCTTGATGGTGCTGCCAGTTGATGAGTGGAGAGGAGGGGTGTTTGTCTCAGCAAAGGAAGGACAGGATGGGAACTGGATGTGGTCAGCATAGAAGATGATGTGTTGAAGGTATCAGTTACTGGACTGAAATCTGACGGTGGCACAGTCAGAGGATACAGCAGCCCTTGTGTAGCTGGGATGAACCTGGAGCACGGGCGGTAGGGTTTCTTGTTATCGTTGTGGCGATGGGCTGGGGGTAAAACTAACCTGGGGCTGGTGATCGGCGGTGAACGGGCCCTAGAAGGGTTGTGAGAGAGCCCTGTGCAGTAGGTAAGTGTGGTTGAGAAGGTTATAGGGAAAGGCTAAAGCCAATGGAAGAGCAGAGGGAGGAATATCGGGTGAGAGGAGAGGGAACGAGGGCTGTGGAACTCAGCTCAGGGTCCTCGGACCCAGGGAGGCCTTTAGGAGAGCCCTCAAAAGGTGGTTTCAGTTACATCCAGAGGGTGGATTTATTTCTTTTTCAGATGAGTTTTTGAATCCCTAGGAGAATAACCCATTTCTGCTTCCCTTTCAGGGGCTCAATGCGCATTGGAAAGGATTTTATCCTCTTCACCAAGAAGGAAGACACCATGACCTGCCTCTTCCTGTCTCGTACCTTTCACGAGGAGGAAGGCATTGATGAAGTAGGTCCCATCCTTGTGGTCCCAGTCACCATTCCACCTTTCCTGTGTCTGCCCAGGCTGTTTTCGTAGGTCATTTGCAGTGCTGGGCTCATTGGGGTTGCTGGATTACAGCTGTGCCCCCTGTTATGGGATTAGCTGGTTGGGTGAATTGGTTGAGGGGTTAAGGTAGCTATCTTAATGTGAGAGGAAATAAAAATCTCAAAGCTTCAGAGAATAGTTGTCCTGTTTCTGAGAATGAGGCCATTAGCTGGCAGGAAACAAGAGTTGGATTTGCAGGTCCCCTAGATCTGCAGCTTGAATTCAGTCTGGGGGTGAGGGGGTGGTGTCACTATGGAGAGTTGTTTTATCAGGGGTGTACTTTGGGCTTCCATGACTATGGGTGGAGACCACAGATGGCAGTAATAATAGTAACAGCACTGTCTTTGCCATATGATGGTGATTTTGTGGAATGTGCTATGAGCGCATTTTCCTTTTGAGGAACTGTGTTGCTCTAACCATCTATATCAGAGGCTACAACTCGGATACCTACAGGGCCTGGACAGGCAGTGAAGCAGGTGAGCATATGGAAAACATCAACATAAGGTTTTTGCTAAATGGCAGCTGACACTCAGCCCCAGCTGATTATTACTATGCTGGAAGGAAGGCCCAACGAATCTGGACTATTCTGATTTTAAAACATTTTGGTAATTATGTAAGCTAAACACATGCTCACCTGATTCTCTTTGTGGCCTAGTGGCTCAGATATCTGCAAAGCTGGTCTGGTGAGGTCTGTGCCCCTCCTTGAGGGGATCAGGGAAGGCCTTGGTCTGCCCAGCCTCACCCTGGACTCTTAGCAGCTCCTTTCACGTGTGAGAAATGGAGGCCAGAGCTTGAGAGAGGGGCTGAGAGGGTCTGCAGAGAGAGATCCATGGCTGTCACATAAACAGATAGGTGAATTCAGTCAAAGCTTCAATAAGTCAGCTCTGTTGGTTAACTTTGATTAAATTTGTAGTGGTCCTGTTTAGATGTGAGCCTAAATCTTAGCAAATGAGTTCATGCTGGGAATGAAAGGCTGTCTTTTTCTGCCATCTTTACTTGGCAAGCCGGTGGATTTGTTGGCATTTTGGTGCAGTTTGTCAGTTCTCAGCATACTTGGAGCGAGAGAAGTGCTGCAGCTGAAAAGAGCAAGCTCCTGGGAGAAGGTAGGGCAGGAGAGCTTAGCCTCAGCTGAGGTTTTCAGGAGTGTTTCCTGATGGACTGAGGGTGGCAGGAGGAGGGTGTTCAAGTCAATAGAAATATTCAAGTCTATTCAAGGCCCTGAGAGCTGGTGAGGGCTGTGGCAAGGGACTTGGCAGAGGGGCGACTTGAAGAAAGGTGGTGCCTGGAGAGCGAGGAGGGCCAGGTCAGGCTTGACCTTAGGGCCTTAGTGAGCATGTGGGACTTTATTAAAAGCAACCATTAAAGGGAATTTAAGCGAGGGTATGGCAGTATCAGATCCTCTTTTAAAAAGATCAGTTTTGTTATTGTGTGGTGACTGGATTGGAAAGATTAGGGTGTTGGGGTGGACCACTTGAGAAGCCCTGGCTGTGTATAGCCTGGTGGGACTCGCAGCAGGGAAGTGAGAGAAAGGAGTCGTCATCTCTTCAGCATGTGGGACCCACAGATTGGTGTTTGATCAGTGGAGCGGAGAAAGGCGAAGGAGGGGTCATAGATGACTCAGGTGCTGGGGTGGCAGTTGTGGGGAGTGGTGGGCTGTCAGGAGCTGGGGAAGAAGGGAAGAGGGGCAGTTTGGAGGGCAAGAGTGTAAGTTTTGTCCTGGACATACAAAATTAAGTCTGGTTCTGGAGCTTGAGGGAGGCCTGGGCTCCAGGATTCTTGGTAGCAAATGAGCTCACCTGAAGGAGTGTGTAGAGTGAGAAGAGGACCTGGGATCGCATGCATGCTGACATTTAAAGGCCAGGGAGAGGAGAAAGCGGCAAAAGAGACAGGAGTGGCCAGAAGGGTAGGAGGAAAACCAGGAGAGTGGTGGCATTGAAACTAAAGGAGAAGTATTTCGATGGCAGGGATGGGTGCCAGTGGAAGTGAATGCCCACAGTTAAAAGTAATGCCAGTGTCACCTGGGACTGCTGTGAAGAATGGGAGGTGCAGAGTGAGGTACAAATTTACAGAACACAAATGGAACTCAATTCCCTTGGTGAAAAAGCTAGGTTGAAATTTTTTCCTTACTTGGTGCTAGAAGGTCACTGTTTTGGATTGTACTCTAATGCGAACTCAGCCAAGATTTCAAAATAAGATCATTTTTGGCTGGGTAGGAATGTGTCTTGTCTAAACCAGCCCTAGGCTTGAATACTACAGGCATGAAGCTTCTTAGAAACCAGCAAAATGTCTCAGAACTCTTAATAGTTTATCACTTCGGCCCTTTTTAAAATACAATGTCCCTTTTTACTCAGGGTGGGCCATGTGATTTGAACGTCTGAGGTACCTGGACTCGTTTGCTGTAACAGGGAATCACAGCAATCAGCCATCGCAGGACTCCTTGGGCAGCTGGCTGGGGAAGGGGAAGGAGCACGTTGAGGCTTCTGGGCAAGTGGGTTTTTGAACAGAGTAGCATTTTTTTTTCCAGCTTTATTAAGGTATAATTGACAAGGGTAGGATTTTTAAAAACATTAGTTAGACATAAGATTAAATTCTGTACATATGGAAGAGTGTATTAAAATATATGTACAGTTGAGAGAATAATTATCAAGTGAACACCCAAATAGCCACCATCAGAGACTGATGCTAGAAGTTCCCAGTGTACTCCTCACCGATCATATTCCTTATGGCACCTCTGAAGGAACTGCCTTCAGGTGACTTTTGTGATAATCATTTCCTTGTTTTCCTTTATAGTTTTGTCACCTGTGTATGCATTCCTGAATAATAGTTTAGTTTTGCCTTTTTATGAATTTTCTATAAATGGACTCATACTGTACGTTTTTTTCTGTATTTTGTTTCTATCATGTAACATAGTGAGATTCATCCATGTTGATGCTAGCAGCTGTTAGTTTGTTCATTTTGTCACTGCTCAGTGATCCATTGTATAAATATACTACAGTTTAATTTATCCACTCTGTAGTGGATATTTGTGTTATTCTTACACGTTTGCTTGTACACATGCACAAAAGTTTCTCCTAGGATATATATTTGGGAGTAGAATTACTGAGTTATAGGTTATGTTTATGTATATCTTCAGATTCGCTAGATAATTGCAAATATGTTTTCCTTAGTGGAAAGAGTAGAATTATTACCAAATTAGGAAAATGGCCAGGGGCATCCCAAGCAGGGTTCTCCAGAGACCCCCAGGGAACCTAGGGATGTGAGGCTGAGTCTTGGGAAGGGGCAGAAGCCACAGAGTCTCTGGCGCCAGGCTGTGGAGCTTCAGGGCAGTGTGCAGCCACTGGGGGGAGGGACAAGATGGATGCACATTTTGGGAGAATGCTGTTCTGGGGCCTCCCTCATAGTGTGTGCGTGTGCTTACTTCAAAGGTGATAGTCCCATTGCCCACCTGGAATGCTCGGACCCGGGAACCTGTCACAGACAATGTGGAGAAGTTTGCCATCGAGACAGAACTCATCTACAAGTATTCTCCCTTCCGCAATGAGGAGGATGTGATGACTCAATTCATGAAGATTCCTGGGGACAGTGGTAAGTAGGCTTTGAGCCTCCAGCCCCTAGAATCCGGGAGCTCCAGAGCCACGAGTGGTGTGGGGATGGGCTGGGGGCACCCGGCGGAATGAAAGGAGGATTTCTGTTCCTCAGGAACACTGGTGATCATCTTCAATCTCAAACTCATGGATAATGGAGAGCCAGAGCTAGACATAACGTCAAATCCAAGAGATATCCAGATGGCAGAGACTTCCCCAGAGGGCGCGTGAGTGTGGCTGGGAAGGGAGAGAAATCTTGGAACTGGTATTCATTGTCTTAGGAGAAAAAGCTCAGAAGGTGACTTCAGGGAGAGAGGGGAGAGCTCATTCCCTGGATTTCCCGGTATGAGAGTTGATGGAGCTGAGAACTCCATGTCTTCTTGCCACAAGGCAGAAGGGATGAATAGAAGGACAACAGATCCTCAGCTAAGCCAAAAGTAAAGATTGCTGATCCCTTGCTCCAACTCCTTGATTTGACAGAAGAAGAAACTGAGGCCTAGAGAGGGGAGAGGAATTGCTGGGTCCATGGTGGGGCAGTAGTAGGGCCAGGTCAGGTGTCTGTTGGGCGCCTGTGCTGGGGATGTGAGGGGGGGCGGGATGTGGTGCCCGCGCTGAGGAAACACCCCTTCAGGGTGGCAAGAGAAGCCGAGATGCGAGGTGGAAAGGTGGAGGGCCTGCAGAGAGGCTATCCTACTGTATTCTTGATCAGGTTGGTTTTAGGGTGGGTGATAGCACTCCTCCTTCCTGCCCCCTCCAGGAAGCCAGAGCGGCGCTCCTTCCGCGCCTATGCTGCTGTGCTGTATATTGATCCCCGGATGAGGATCTTCATCCATGGGCACAAGGTGCAGACCAAGAGACTCTCCTGCTGCCTGTACAAGCCCAGGTAGGGGCCTGCCCAGCCTGGCCTGCTGTTTCTCTTGGGCCAGGGCAGGGCCTGGCCGCATTTCTTTGGGGGCATTGTTGGAGTGATGCCAGATGAGAGGCTCTGACAGCATTGACTGCATTTGGGCCTTTAAGCTGCTTGTAATTTACTGTGGAGAAACTTCTGGGTCCTGAGGGAGGGACAGAGGTGGCTGACAGGCTGTGGAGGTTGGTTGGCCAAGCTCTTTGAGTGTGAGTGCCTTCTGTGATGTGGAGGGTTCCTTGCCTGGCACAGTGAGCTGTCTGAGCCTCTTACTTCAGGGCTGAGGGGCCCTTAGACGCTATACAGAAAACAGAGGCCCTGGCTGATTGCTGAGGTTTGTTGCTGCTGTGGGATTAGTGACAGACCTGGTGAGTAGTCAGGTTGCTTATCAAAGACGGAGCAGGACACAAGGGGCAAGTGGAATAAGGAATTGAGTCTTTTTGTTAAAATAAACTTGGCTTTGACTCATCACAAGGGGCCAGGATGGTACAGCTTGGTAGGAGGCAGGAAGGCAGGGTGCTTTCCGCCCTGCCCCACTGCTGCTTGGGCCCTCAGGTTGCTTTTTCCTCTGTTCAGGATGTATAAGTACACGTCAAGCCGTTTCAAGACACGTGCAGAGCAGGAGGTGAAGAAAGCCGAGCATGTAGCGCGGATTGGTAATGCTCCCCCTGTGTAGTAGGGGTCAGGTGGGCGTCGTCTGGGGGACTCTGCTTCAGGCCAAAGCAGGATCCAGGAAAAAAGCTCTGTCGAACACTCAGGGATAGGCTGTCCTCTTGAACCGCTGGTCCGGTTCCTCTTGTTCCCCTCCCCACAACGTGCCAATCCCCTCAGCAATTTTTCTCCCCAGGCTCTACCTTCTCTTCTTCAGCCATTTATAGGAACTTAACTAAAACAATGTCGATTCCTCCTTGGTTTGCCCAGAGTGAAGAATCCCACACTGTCCTCTGGCCCACATACTTGTGAAATTGGTTTTTCTGACTCCAGGGCAGAAATCTCAATGTCTCTCATGCTGACAGGGCTTATTGGCTGCTTGATGGAGAGTGACTGGCTGAGGACTTTGATAGCTTCCAGCTCTTGCTGAGAGTTTAACTCTGGTTGCTTTGGGCAGTTTTTGACCTGTTCTGCTTCACTTGTAAAGTTTGAAAAGCAGGTCTCTGGTATAAATACTGCTTGTTTTCCTTGGGGCCTCCTTGCTTGTCCTCTTTGAATTGACCGCAGTCCAGGCAGGGAAGTTTCTTTCGGAGCTTTCCTGTTCCTTGACAGTGTACACAGGTCTTGTCCAGCAAGGACTGCTCTGTGGGATCCAGGAGGGATGACTAAGAGTTTTGAACCTTTGAATTCCTTATCATGATTTCTTCTGGGTTTCAGCTGAAGAAAAGGCACGGGAGGCAGAGAGCAAAGCTCGGACATTAGAGCTACGCCTAGGTGGAGACCTCACACGAGACTCCAGGGTAAGGCCCCAGATCTGTGCAGCTGTTTTCCAGCATTAGGATCCCAGAGTTGGCTTTTCTCCAGCATTTCTGGCATTAGAATCCCAGAGGTGGCCTTGCTCAGCCCCAGGCAAGTCATGAATTCCTTGCCCTACAGCTGAAAAAAGGGATGTTATAATGTTCCTATAATCACTGTTGAACACACTGTATGGCAGAATCTTGGCTAATCATTTCAACATCCCAGCAACTTTATGAGGTGGACACTGTTAGTATTCTTAGTCTATAGAAAGAGAAGTTGAGGGGTCGGCCCTGTGGCGTAGTGGTTAAGTGCACGCGCTCCGCTGCTGGCGGCCCGGGTTCGGATCCTGGGCGCGCACTGATGCACTGCTTCTCTGGCTGTGCTGAGGCCGCGTCCCATATAAAGTGGAGGAAAATGGGCACGGGTGTTAGCCCAGGGCCAGTCTTCCTCAGCGAAAAAAGAGAAGGATAGGCATGGATGTTAGGTGAGGGCTGATCTTCCTCACAAAAAAAAAAAAAGAGAGAAGTTGAAGTGAAGAGGGTCCCTTGCCCCAGGTTGTACTCAGTAGTAAGGGTAGAGCAGTTCTCTACCCCTCCAGGTCAGACACACACCTCCATAGACTATTGTTTCAGTTGGAGATGTTTCCTCCTTCATGTCAGTGAGCCTGGTCATTTGAAACACAGCTTTTGAGTTTGTCCCCAGCAAGAGCCATTTTCTTTAGAAAAGAAGTAAATCTCCAGGTGTTTTTTGCATCCATGTGATTTGAGAAGTTTTAAATGTGTTGTTATATTACTTACCTTGGCCCAAAGCACCTCCTCCCCTCACTTGGTGCTGACATACATTTCCAGGTGATGTTGCGGCAGGTCCAGAACACAGCCATTACCCTGCGCAGAGAAGCCGATGTCAAGAAGCGGATCAAGGAGGCCAAGCAGCGGTGAGTGCCAGGGCTGGCCTTTGGTCTCTTAAAATTATGTAGCTTTTGTACTGATTATTGACAATTAAAAAGCTTGAGGAATCCCTCCCCACCCCATGAGGTTGCCATTCTGTCACAAAGATTGCTTTAAGAAAGCCATTAATGTTGGGATCCAAAATGCTTGTCAAATGCCCACTGTAGGAGAGAGGTTTTTCCTAGCTCAGTTCTTTCCTGGGCTAGGAAAAGGCAGGGCAGGGCCAGCCTTCCTGACTGGCGACTGTCTCACCTTACTTTCTTCCCTTCCCCCTTTCCCCTTCTTGCCTTTTCCCTTCCCCCCTCTCTGCCTTCTTTTCCTTTATTCTTTTTATTTAAAGGATATATAAAAAGCTTATTATATAAAATTTGTAAAATATAGAACATTTAAGACATATAATTTTAAAACTCCCTTATACTTCTACCACCTGGTGATATCTACTCTTAATTTTTTATCGCTGGCTACAAATGTAGAATCATGCTATAGATTGAGTTTTGTACCTTTTTCATCTAGAATGCGCATTTGTCCCAGCTCATTAAATTATCTCCATGTCCCATCTCCATGTCTGGAGCCTCTCCAGGCTCTGGGCCTTGAATTCCTGGCTGGTTTCTTCTTGGCCTCCTCACCACAGGTGTAGGTTTCAGGTTGCTTCTGTCTGAGTCAGTCCACTGCTCATCCATCTGGTTTTCAGCGTCCACGATTTTTGGACATTGATCACATGATGGTCTCTTCTCTCACGTGTTGATTGTTTTTGTGAATTTTTGCCTTTTTAAAATTAATTACCGTCACATTAGTGCAGTAGGTATGCAGATAACCTTGTGTTTATTCCACTGTGTAACTGTCTTCGCAGAGATTTGTAGCAGCTTTACAGTATCTCATTCATATTTAAATCCATCCCTGTTTTGTTACCAAAAGCCAAAGTTGCATGCTTTTAATTAGAGATGCTTAGAGTCACTGCACAGTGCATATCCCTACCAAGTGTAACAGGTTACACATTGAATGGAAAAGCGAAACTTTTTGCTTAACACATCTCAAGTTTAAGCTTAAGCTTAACACATCTTAAACACCATGGTGTTTGTGTGTTAGTGGTTGATCTGCTTGAATTTATCTTTTGTCTTCTCAGAGCACTTAAAGAACCTAAGGAACTGAATTTTGTTTTTGGGGTCAACATCGAACACCGTGACCTGGATGGCATGTTCATCTACAACTGTAGCCGCCTGATCAAGATGTATGAGAAAGTGGGTCCACAGCTGGAAGGCGGCATGTGAGTACTGCCCAAGGAGGGCTTTCCAGCCCAAGGCTGATGGCGGGAGGGTTCTGGTCAGTAGGTTAACAGAGCTGTGTCTTCTTTCCTGCAGGGCATGTGGTGGGGTTGTTGGGGTCGTTGATGTTCCCTACCTGGTCCTGGAGCCTACACACAATAAGCAGGACTTTGCTGATGCCAAGGAGTTCCGGCACCTGTTGCGGGCGATGGGGGAGCACCTGGCACAGTACTGGAAGGACATTGCCATTGGTAATGCCCATTCTCTTCACTTCCAGCCTTAGGATACTCTCACTGCCTAAGGAGGTGAATTTAGGAGGAGCCAGAGGCTGGCTCCTAACATGATGTGTGGGTGTTTGCCTTGTAGCCCAGAGGGGAATTATCAAGTTCTGGGATGAATTTGGCTACCTCTCTGCCAACTGGAACCAGCCTCCATCCAGCGAGCTGCGTTACAAACGCCGGAGAGCTATGGAAATCCCAACCACCATTCAGTGTGGTAAGTCGGTGGTCGGAACCTCCTTCTGACTCCTTTCCATCACAGTCCATGGCCCTCTTCTCTCCGTCTCTGTGCTGGCCTCCTGACTGGACTGACATTAATGGACTTAGGGTCCCACTAGGGCTATGAGTCTGTTTAATGATGGCCATGGGAACTCAGCCTTGGGGCTGGGCTTACTCGGTTTGGTGCCAGATTGTTAATAGTGTGAGTGATGACTGAGCCAAGATCCTGCTGGAGGAGGAAGAGGGGCTGGGGGCACTGAGAATCCACGATGCAAAGTTTCCATCCTTGCTGGAATCACCGTTCCTGAGAAGAATTACCGTTGTGTAAGAAAGGCAGAGTTGGAGCCAGAGTGCGATCTTCGCACGGAAAGTCAGGGGCATCTTTGCCTTGGGCCTGGCTGGGAGGAGCCTGATCACAAATATTGTTGGTGGACATGGCTGACGTTTGTGGGGGTGTTTTCTGTGTCACAGATTTGTGTCTGAAGTGGCGGACCCTCCCCTTTCAGCTGAGTTCTGTGGAAAAAGATTACCCTGACACCTGGGTTTGCTCCATGAACCCTGATCCTGAGCAGGACCGGTGAGCACTGTCTCTAACAGGGAGATTGTGGGTATCTCCCCACTTCCCTGTGTTCTCTCCACTCTTTGGGTAAATAACTCACTATGCTTCTCGAGGTCAGTGCTTATATCCTTTCATCTCTGTCTTGCTGCACGTAATAAGTGCCCCAGAAATAACAATAGATGTGTGTCCTGCAGTGAGTATTAACTCCATGCACTTGGGAACTCTGAGGTGATTGCTTTGGTGAGAGACAGAATGGCTTGGTTGAGGAAGAAGGACCCTGCCCTACCTAGAGCCCTGTTTGGCACAGTCTCTCTAGCACCTTCTCTCTACAGGTGTGAGGCTTCTGAACAGAAGCAGAAGGTTCCCCTGGGGACATTCAGAAAGGACCTGAAGACACAGGAAGAGAAGCAGAAGCAGCTGACAGAGAAAATTCGCCAGCAGCAGGAGAAGCTGGAGGCCCTGCAGGTGTGTGGGTCATGGGCAGTGGGCAGAGCCAGGCTATGTCAGGGCTCTGTCCAGGATGGGACAGGAACCCTCAGTGGCTCCCCTGTTCCCTCAGGCCCAGTTTCAGCCTTCACTCACCCACAAGTGCTGCCAGAGCTTTCCAACCCCAACCCGCAGGCACTGACACCTGGGTTTGAACCCAGGTGTTCATTTAGAGTGTTTTAAAAGTCCAGAAAATAAAGATCCTACCTTAGAGGTAACCACCATTAACTACATATCCTTCCAGTTTTTTATGACTGCTTACGTACACAAAAATACATATAGAAATACGGAGATCATGACGTGTGTCACATGACATACACACACATATATCTTTTAGTGCATAATTATTTTCTTGGGGTAATTTTCTAGAAGTGACTTTGAAAGGGTTTGTAAAATTCTATGGCTTTTTATAACTATTTCCAAATTACCCTCCAGAAGATGTATTAATTTCTGTTCTTTACCAGCAGAACATTTATTTTAAAATGTTTTTGCAACTTTGATAGGCAAAGATCTTATTTGAATTTCTTTCATATTTCTAAAATTGGAGAATTTTTTCATGTGTCTATGTTTCTTTTAGAATTGCTTATTCTATTTTTTTTTCTTAATTGATTTATCAGGCTTTCTGGTTATATTTATGATATTAACCCTTTATCATATTTCTTACAAACCCTTGTCCCTTTCTGGCTTCTGTGTCTGCGCAGATGCTCTCACTAACTTGGATGTCGTCTGCATGCATTCCTGTCTGCTGAATCCCACCTGTCCTTTCTGGCCTCGTCCACAGGCCTTTCCCACCTTTTTTTGCTTCTTTAATAGGAATTTAGTGGGGCCCACCCGGTGGCATAGCAGCTAAGTTCACATGTTCCGCTTTGGTGGCCCGGGGTTCGCCAGTTTGGATCCTGGGTGCGCACGTACTCACCGTTCATCAAGCCATGCTGAGTGGCGTCCCACATAGAAGAACTACAATTCTGCAACTATGATACACAACTATGTACTGGGGCTTTGGGGAGAAAAAAGAAAAAGAGGAAGATTGGCAACAGATGTTAGTGCAGGGCCAATCTTCCTCAAAAAAAAAAAAAAAAGAAATTATCATCCACCTCATGCCTTGTGACTCACTCTCATATCCCAGACGTTTCCATCAACCACAATGGTCATGTTCAAAAATAAATAATTCAGAATACATATTCACCTGCCAAAAAAAATTCCTGATTTAAAAAAAAAAAAAGAATGTAGTCCATTGACACTTTTTCCTGGTCTCTCAATTGCTGGATTAATCACATAGAATCCTGTAATTTGCTGATGGTTTTTTGTATTTTTTGTCTTCCCAGTGAGAATGGGAGACTTGTAATAGTAGAACTGTGGCCCAGGTTTTCTTTTTCATTTGCCCACTATCCCAGACATATAGTGGAGATCCAGAAAGAGTTTACTTGAATGTACCAGGTTATGCAAACAACCTCATCATGTTTGCCCTGCAGAAAACCACACCCATCCGTTCCCAAGCTGACCTGAAGAAATTGCCCTTAGAAGTGACCACCAGACCTTCCACTGAGGTAAAGCCCAGGGGCCGGGGAGGCGGCTTTTTTCCTCGGGTGTCTCATGCTAGGATCAGTGTTCTCACTCTCTCTCTCGGCCTCTCTTAGGAACCTGCACGTAGACCTCAGCGTCCTCGGTCACCTCCTTTACCTGCTGTGATCAAGAATGCCCCGAGCAGACCCCCTTCCCTACAAGCTCCCAGGCCAGCCAGCCAGCCCCGAAAGGCTCCTGTCATTAGCAGTACCCCAAAGCCGCCTGCCCTGGCAGCCCGGGAGGAGGCCAGTACATCCAGGCTGCTCCAGCCGCCCGAGGCACCCCGAAAGCCTGCTAACACTCCAGTCAAGACTGTGTCCCGGCCTGCTCCTCTGGTGCAGCCGCTGTCACCATCTCTGCTGCCCAACTCCAAGAGCCCTCAGGAGGTCCCTGCCCCCAGAGTCATCAAGACTCCAGTGGTCAAGAAGCCAGAGCCGCCCAGTAAACTCTCCCCGGTGAGATGCTTTTCCTCCTTTGGCCCCCAGCCCACCCTCTGTGGTATAGGAATGGAGTCTGTCAGTGTCAAAGCTGTCCTGCTGGAGCCTCGGTGGAGATCACTGAATCTAAAGTTTCCCTGCTGCCCTTAGAGGAGTCATCTAGGTGGCTGAAGGAACTTGGTCAGGGGCACAGAGCTAGTTGGTTTCCTGTCCAGGGAGCTCTTCACTGTTCCCTCTGAGTTTTGGTCTGCCACAAACTTGAGTCACCTCCATCAGCTTCTCACACTGTGGGCATAGGTTGGCGGCCTGGTGACAGACAGCCTTGGTGGGCTGCAGCAGTGGTTGGTGTGTCTTAGGGAGATCACAGCTAGCTGGCTAGGCAGGCTAAGCAGGGAGTGGACTGAGAGGCTTCCCCTATGACAGCTTTGAGCAAAGGTCCTCATGGGCCCAGGGCCTAGGAGGTTACTGTGTACTGAGTAACATCAAGGGGGACGCAGCCCTGGTGGGGACTGAGAGACAGACAGGCCCCTCTCTGAACAGCTCCTTTAGGCCAGATGGAATGTTCCTGCACCTTAAAGGCTGACAGAGTCCATCACATTCCCTCTCCTCTTACTGTAGGCCACTCCTAGTCGGAAGCGGACACACGGGGTCTCTGACGAGGAAGAAGCTGAGGAAGAGGCTGAAAGGAGGAAGGAGAGGTCCAAGCGGGGCAAGTTTGCTGTGAAGGAGGAAAAGAAGGACTTGAACGAGGTAGGTGGTGAAGGTGAGGTTGTCAGAGCCTCCCTTCCCAGGGTGTCCAGCCACCACCTACAGTCTGCACCAGCTCTGTTTGTGTGCTGTGCCATGAGCCTTCCAGAAGCCCACTTCATCTCTGAAGGACTCTCAGTCACACAGATGACTAGGAACATGGTGCCAGGTAGGATCCTGAGTGAGACTGGCTTCTGGCTCTCATCACAGGCCTGAGGTCACACTGACGGAGATCAGGGAGGCTTGAAACCCTTTGCTTCCCTGAGTCTGTGACATTCTGCCCCTTGCCTGCTATCTTGTTTGTAAAGGTGGCAGAAATGTAGATACCTAAGATAGCGGTTTAGAGAGTGGCTCTCGGCGAGGCATGGTGTTTAAACAGCCATGTGAGATGACATGAGATGTGACGGCTAATGACTCTGGGCAGCCAGTCATGCAAATGTCTGCTCTTTTGGGGCACTGGGGATGCGTCTGACAGACTGTTCTCCTTGCAGCTTTCAGACAGTGCTGGGGAAGAGGACTCAGCTGACCTCAAGAGGGCTCAGAAAGGTGAGTTCAGGGAGGTACCCGGCAGCCTGTGGGGAAGTGGGGCCCCTTGGCCAGCAGCAGCTTATCCCGAAGGCTTTCCTGGCTCCGGGCTCTCACGCAACAGTGGTTCCAAGCCTAATTCCAAGAAGAATTCTGAAGATAGCATGCCCTTGTGTTTATTCTTAGCACTAATTCCTTGGCATTCACCTCTGAAAGTCACTCAACTGGCTGCTCTTTGACATCCTCATGACAGATGGGGAAGGAGACCAGGAGGCTGGGCTCCATGTCCGTGTCATAGTGGGGTCAAGCACCTAGGGGTTCTTGTCCCTGTGAACCCTGGGATGACTTTTCTTGAGATGGCCCTGGCTGAGGGGGGGACTCTAGTCTACTTTTCTGATTTGCACCCTGTCTCCATTCTTAGATAAAGGGCTGCACGTGGAGGTGCGTGTGAACAGGGAGTGGTACACAGGCCGTGTCACAGCTGTGGAGGTGGGCAAGAATGTGGTGCGATGGAAGGTGAAGTTTGACTACGTGCCCACAGACACAACACCCAGAGACCGCTGGTAACGCCCCTACAGAGAGGCTGGGTTGACAGAGTTGGCCAGGGCAGAGGGAGGTGCTGTCCTGACCCCATTGCAGGCAGCCTATCCTGGGAGCCTGGGACACATGTAACACAAGCACTGTGTCCTCCCTAGGGTGGAGAAGGGTAGCGAGGACGTGCGGTTGATGAAGCCCCCTTCCCCGGAGTATCAGAGCCCTGACACGCAGCAGGAGGGCGGGGAGGAGGAGGAGGCGGCAGTGGCCCAGCAGGCCATAGCTCTGACAGAGCCCTCCACTTCGGACTGCATTCGCATTGAGCCTGACACCACCGCCCCAAGCACCAACCACGAGACCATTGACCTGCTCGTCCAGATCCTTCGGTGCGTGTGTCGTCCCCTTCCAGGGCCAGCTGTGACTGTCCACCCGCTCCACGCCATTCTGAATTCCTGTCCCCACCTTCTTTCTGGTCTAGGAATTGTTTACGGTACTTCCTGCCTCCAAGTTTCCCCATCTCCAAGAAGGAGCTGAGTGCTATGAATTCGGATGAGCTAATCTCGTTTCCTTTGGTGAGTCTGGCCTGGTGTTTGGTTCTTTACTCTGCATGCCCCCTTGATGCTTGTTGTGATTGCCAGCTCTCAGCTCTGTGCCCCCTTACCCCTCAGCCAGCTTCCCTTTCTTCTGCTGAGGGAAGGGAAGAGGAGACCTTACGTTGTGGAAAAAGAAGTGGCTTAGCTGGACATGACTCTGGTGGGCAGCTGATGACGTGCTGGGGTGGAAGTCCTCTCTCAGGGACAGCAGGCCTGGTTTGACATTTTACGATGAATACATCCCTTTAATGCTACCCCGGCAGAGGGAGTAAACCTGTCCCAGGAAACACTGAAGAGCTTAGGCTCAAAGTGCCTAGAACTTGATTCTCGGAGGGAGGTATAGACGAGCTCGTGATGTGTCGTGATGTGTGGAGATAAGCACTGGATCTTATTTAACCCAGCAAATGCTGATGTGGCGCCTCGGTGCTGGAGCAGCAAGAGAGAGTCCTGCCTCCAAGTGGTTTAAAAGTCAGTAGAGACTGGGCTGGCCCCGTGGCTTAGCGGTTAAGTGCGCGCGCTCCCCTGCTGGCGGCCGGGGTTCGGATCCCGGGTGCGCACCAACGCACCGCTTCTCCGGCCGTGCTGGGGCCGCGTCCCACATACAGCAACTAGAAGGATGTGCAGCTGTGACATAACAACTGTCTGCTGGGGCTTTGGGGGAAAAAAAATAAATAAATAAAATTATAAAAAAAAAAAAAAGTAGAGACTGAATTTTTAGCAGGAAGCTAGACGTGAGGCCAAGAGCAGTACGTGCTGTGGAAGTGGGTAGGGAAGCTGTGGCAGCCTGGGGGAGGGGGAGTGATTCAGTCTGAAGAAAACGTGGGTTTTAGCAAGTGCCTATGTAAGTGATGGAGTGTGTGAGGCAGGGGGACTTTTGTCAGCAAAGGCTCAGAGGGATGAAAGGGCAGGTGGGGGGTCAAGGCAGCAGACTACGTGGTGAGCATTTAGGGAAGAAGGGGCCTGAGAGCCAGGATATGATGCATCTTGAATGCCCGATCTTAGGCACAGTCGCTTAACCTTTGTATGAAATGGAGGGCCAGCAAAAGGTTTGAGCTGATGGAATTGTCAATCTGAACTGTCTAGGGCAGGGGTCAACAACCTTTTTCCGTAGAGGGCCAGTTAGCAAATATTTTCAGCTTTATGAGCTATATGGTCTCTTTGGCAATTGTTCAACATTGTAGCCTGAAAGCCTCCTAGACAATATGTAAAGGAGTGGATGTGGCTGTGCTCCAATAAAGCTTTATTTACAAAAATAGGCAGCAGGCTGATGTGGCCCATGGGCTGTAGTCTGCTGACCCTGCCCCTACACGAGTAACTCTCCTGGCAGGCAGCATGTTTGGTAGGGTGAGTGGGTGGAAGACACACGGGCAAGGAGGCTGGTCTAATTGTGAAAGGTCAGAGATTGAAGGAACGGAAATGGGAGCCAGAGTGGTGGGAGGGGACTGGCAGGTGAAAGGGCTGTGTCAGAATTCATTGACTGAAGACAAGTGATGGGGGAGGAGGCAGAGGACACACGCGTCCCTGTGTCTCAGGCCTGTGGGAATTGGAGGTTGATAACAAAGCAGTTAAACTGGGAGAGAAAAGAGAGGACGAGGGTTAGGAGGATGAGTTGTGATTTGATCGTGTTCGGCTGGAAGTGCTGGCATTACATTTCTGGGGGTGTCCAGTGGGCAGGTGGAGATTGGGGACTGGCACTTGGGGACAGGAAGGCCAGGGCTGGAGATGCATCCACATCAAGTGGGATGTTTTTATGGCAGGAATAGCTAAGTTTTCTAGGGACGAGTTTCTCGAGAAGAGAACTGGAATTGAAACTGCAGGACTGGTATGTTCAAGATGTTGGGCCCTTGTGTGGCAGCTATGTGCTTGATAAAGTTTGCCAGAGAGAAAAATATGGGGTTTTATCTCCATTCTACTTTAAAAAAGGAAGTGAGGCTCAGAGAGGTGAAGAGTCTATTGTGATGGAGCCCAGATTTGAACCCTGGTACTTCTTAGGACAAGGGTCTTGCTTTACTTATGGTGCCTCCTTGCATGGTGCCCCTGCCAGATGAGGGGTGGGGGGGTGGGGGTGGGGTCAGTGGCTATGCTGCATGCTAAGGAAGCTAGAAGATGGCAGAACTTGTGGCGGCTTCACAGAAAGCTTCATGCCTCAACTCTTGCCCTTGTTCAGGCTGCAGGTGCTATCTGCAGATCCCAGGAACCAACGGCTGATGAGTCGGCTAGGTCAGCCTGGTACCGTCTTGTCAGTAGATTTGTTGCTTTTGGCTTAAAGCAGGAGTGTCTGAGCCTAAAATAGTCTTTTAGCTTATGCTTGTAAAAGGAAGTATACCCAATGCGTCAACTTGATAGCCTCCCAATTGTAATGTCTAAAATAACATAAACTTTAACTTTTTTAACGTCAGGGACACAACAGAGTCTAATGTTCATTATGTCCTTGTCAGTCTATAAATGACCGTCCTTTTTCCCATATGCTGGACCAGGAGTTCCATAAAAGCCCTCAGGGGTCCTGCAAATATTAGATTCAGATATATATATATTTTAAAAGTAATAAAAGAACTGCATGTGAATCTATAATTACCTCAAAATAAAAAGTTAAGAAAACTAATACAAATCACAGTCAGCTGAAGATGATGTATACTGAATTTTACTATTTTTGGAGCTTGCTGGAACATTTATTTTGTGCTGCTCAAGTAATTATTTTTTGTGTAGAACTTGAAGTTTCTCTTGCCATCTTGGTTTAATAGGATGATACTCCAATTGTAAGGTGAAGGACACAGTTAAATACTTGTAACGCTTTTTAAAAACAGCAGTCAGGAGCTGCTCAGTGCTGGGTGGTTCATACATCTGTATAGAAGTAAAGAAATGCTGGAGTTGGTCAGACTGCAGTGGTCAGCCAGGACCTGCTGGGTGTGGGTTTATGTTCATCACAATGGCCTCATCATTCTCACTGGTGGTTTATGAGTAAATCAATAATATGATAAATTTGAACTTTGAAAAGAAATTAAAGGTAAAGAGATACTTCCTAAATGGTTTTTTACACTGAGATTCCATGTAACATTTTATTTGAAACAAGTGTTCTGCTACCTTCTAAAAGTTTGAAAAGCCTAGTGTCTAGAGAAACTGCTAGTTAACATTACTACCCCATCCCTTGGAAGTTTTAGGTAGTCAGGGAAGACAGTAAAAAGCTCTGATGCTGTATAAATATACTACCTAAATATGGAGGTATCTGCTGTTGGTAGATGCTTGATAAACATTTGTAGAAGAGAACTTTTGGCCTGATATTATTGGATGTGACTTGGAAATGCTGAAAGGGCTGTTGTGAAGGTAGAAAGGTATGATTGAGCACGGAGACTGACTATTGTCCTTTTTTTGCTACTTGGAACAGTAAGAACCAGCCCTCACATTTACTCCGGGCTTGCTGTCTGCTGAAGCACTTCGCTGTGTGCTTCACATGGGTGATTCCATCTTTGTCCTTGTGGCAGCCCCGTGAGATGGGCTTCGAGGACTTTCTACTCTGGAGCTAGAAAGACCACTTGCCCTTTGTGTCTGACATCTCTTCAGGCTGAGCATACTTGTGTTGAGCCAGTTGGGGACACCAGTGCCCATCTAGAAGGGCCCTGGGGTCCCCTGTGAGCTCATACATGCACCCTCTGGCTTCCCTCCTGACAGAAAGAGTACTTCAGGCAGTATGAAGTGGGGCTCCAGAATCTGTGTCATTCCTACCAGAGCCGCGCCGACTCGCGGGCCAAGGCCTCCGAAGAGAGCCTGCGCACCTCCGAGAGAAAGCTCCGCGAGACAGAGGAGAAGCTGCAGAAGCTGAGGACCAACATCGTCGCACTCCTGCAAAAGGTGCAGGAGGTGAGCCAGGCAGCCCTCTAGTTGCCGCTGGACCACCTGGTGCCTGGTGTGGGGGGGGCCTGGGCATCCCCTGCTCCCTTCTCCCACTCACAGGAATCTGTGGTTCCAACCCTGGCTGCACAGCATCCTGACCAGGAGGGCTGCAGGTGATATGGCTACCTGGGCCTCTTGCCAGCCGGACCCATGGTATCAGACTGTTGCCCTTGTTTAGACATTCTGATGTGCAGCCTGGTTTGAGAACCCTCCAGCCATAAATCAGAAAGAAGTTTTCGCTTTTCCAGATGACGCCCAGATGGGATTGGGTGGCCCAGAAGCGGGGAGTGCCCTGTACAGTCTCAGTCCTTCATCCAGGCAGTAGACACTGAGGACCTGCTCTGTGCCTGTCCTGTGGATACCGGGTGAACCAGACAGGCGAGATAAGGTCCCTGCTGTCACAGCCCAACAGTCCGCTGGAGGAGACAGAATTATTGATGGCAGGAAGTGTTATGAAGTAACTATGACAACAGACGGAAAATGGGGAGGCCACTTTACTAGGGTGTTCGGGGTAGCCTCTCTGAGGAGGTATTTGAGCTGAGAGCAGAACCAGTCATGCAAGAGCGGGATGCGAGAGCTTTGGGCAGAGCGAAGAGCAGGACTCAAGGTCCAAGGCAGGGAGCTGTGGGCGATAGAAGAGGTGGGACCTATACGAGGTGGGAAGTCACTGGAGGGGTGTGGCACTATCCAGTTTGCAATCTAAGACATTTACTCTGGTTGGTTGTAGGAGGGCCTGCAGGGGGCGAAGGTTAGAATCCGGGACTCCAGTGAGGAGGTTCCCACAGTTGTCTGGGTGAGAGATTCTGGTGGCCTGAACCTTGGATCGTGACAGTGAGGAGGGAGAGAAGTGGGCAGATTTGTAATATCTGAGGGAAAGGGAGGAAGCAAGGGTGATTCTTCTGGTTTGTCTTGAGCCCTTGGGTGGAGGGAAGGTGGTGGCCTGTAGGGAGATGGGAGCAAAGTGGGTGGGGTGGTGCAGTTGAGCTGTTTTGGATGTATTGAGTCTGAGAAGCCTGCAGCACATCTAAGGCAACTGGGAACTTGAGGTAGAGACAGGGCAGGAGTAAGAAATCCGGGCATCACCTGTGCACAGAGGATGGGGAGGGGAGAATGGTCAAGATAGGACAGGCCTGCCAGCCAGGGTGGAGGGAGGAAGGGAGGGGACCCTGGGCGCAGGCCCCGTGGGCTGTGAGAAGGGTGGAGAGGCGGAGTCCCACTGGCTTGCCCCTGGCTGACCCTGCCCTGTTCTATTCCAGGACATAGACATCAACACAGATGACGAGCTGGATGCCTACATCGAGGACCTCATCACCAAGGGGGACTAAGGGACTCGGAGCCAGAGATCAATTGCCCTGCCTCTCAAGGCAGAGCTCCGGGGGTTTCATTTATGGGTTGGTGGACTTACCTTGTTTGATTCACATGGGACATTTGTGTTTTTGGAGGGAAAGATACTCTGATTCTTTGAATCTTCCTCCCTAAGTTTATAAATATTTATTTTTTAAAAGAAACAAGATGCTGTGCCTGCTGTGAGACCATACATTTTTTTGTGACTCTTGGGCAAAGGACAGAGAACCAGGATGCCAAGCCTGAGCCACTTCTCTTGGCTCCTGGCTCCTCAAGATGTGGTGAATCCAGTGCCATCTGGAAGTTGAAGAGGCTCCAGGGCAGGGCTGGTTTCTCTCTTAGAGGATGAACAGTCTTGGGATCTGAGGGATGGGGGAGGGAGAGAGCACCCCAGAGTGGTGTTCCCCCTAGGGGCTCTGATCCAGGAGATCCCCAAGGGGGGCCATGGGGTCAGGCAGAGGCTCACTGCTGAGCTGTTCTCCCTCTTGTGGCTCCCATCTCAGGTCAGGGATTTGAGTGGTGGCCTGAGCAGCTGTCAGTCTTCCTGGCTTGGGGAAGAAAGATCCTCCTGTTCAACCTCCCCATCCACCACCCAAGTTCTCCCTGCTGGAGTGGTTTCCTCGGTTAACCGTGGACAGTGAGGTTTCCTGCCTCAAAAACTTGAGCCCAGGTTGAGAAGTAGACAGATCCAACTCTGGTCAGACCGCTGACCTGGGTAGCACACTGAATGTTTGAATTCCAAAGGATTCCTTTTAGGAAAGGGCCTTGTGTGTGAAGGAGCCTCTGGTGCTGATCTAGTGGCAGCTTCCATCTGTGGACGTGGCAGGGTCCGGAGGGAGCACAGCTGCCTCGGATGGTGCTGGCTGACCTGGAGAGCCTGCTGCTGCTGCTTTTTCTTTTACTGCTTCCCCTCTGCCCGGCCCCACCGTGCCCAGTCAAGGTCCCTGCCCCGGGGCAGACAGGAGGGGGTCACTGAGCCTCCCTGGCGCACAGGTGCGGGAGCTGGGCTGCAGGGACTCCAGAAGCAGCTTTGCAGGAAGCACACCAGGCCTTGCCTCCTGTCTAGTCATAGCCTCATACAGCTGTGTCCCTCAGGCAACTTCTCAGGGTCAAAGACAAAGGCAAGAGTTGCTGAGTTTTCTCTTTAATGGCCATTGGAAAAATTCTGGTTTGATTTCCCCCAACCCTCTTTTCCTTTCTCTTTATTTGGGGACTTTGGGTGTCCTGAAGGCACAAGAACTATGGCCTTGTACCATTGGTCTTCGATTCAGACCTCAGTGTGTTTCCGGCATCTGCCTACCCCACGTCAGCAGTGGCCTCCGTGCCGCCCTGTGAAGTCTGCAGAAGACTGGGACGCGCTGGTGAGGGAAGCCTTCACCCACTTGTGCGTGTGGCCAGAAGCGCCTGTGACTTGTGGGTTTGGGGCTTCCTCAAACCACATCCCTGGTAGAGGGCTGTTTGGGGAAATACCACTCAGAGACCCTGACCTCTTCCTCTGGAAGATTCTCTAAGAGTCTTGGGGTTTCCTGAGTTGGTGACTCCTCTCCTGTTCAGTTCTCTCTCTTCATTCCAGGCAGCATATGGTCCATTTTTCTCCCCAACCTTACTGTTTTAATCTAAAAGAAGTTGGTTCTGCATTTTTACCAGAGGGTAATACTCAAGTTTCTTATTTACACACCTGTAATCAAAACGCAATACTATAAACTTTTACTGGTGAGACTCCTGAACTAGTCCCTTTTCTTCTCTTAGTAGAATCCAGCCCCTTCCTCCTCCTCCTTTCCACCACTGTGGCTTTAAACTGTTCAAATTCTCCACCATCTTCACTGTTTTCTGTCTTCACCCTCCTTGACACCCACAGAAGCTGAAATACTGAATTTCTTAAACGTTTTAGCTTCAGCTGCTGGTTGTGCCCACTTTGCTGTTTAAATCCAGCCACGGTTGTGCTGAATGCAGCCTGTTTCCCAGGCAGAGCTCCTGCCATGCTGGGTGGGGAGGTAAAATGCAAGGGTCCCTCCCCTTTCCCAGTCATGGGATAGATGACCTGCTTAGAACTGTCTAATGACTTGGGAGGAAGGAGATGGTCTGGCTGGTCTATGGCAGGAAGGTCCTTAGTTCAAGGCTGCAAGAAGGTGAATGAAGGCAGCAACCCTTGTTTTTATGGAATGGGAGGGATGGGGACTTTCTTGAGGGCTTTTTTTGTGACACATGCACCTGGAAAAAATTCAAGCAGTAAAAAGGTTGGACCGTGAAAAGCAAAGCTCCCTCCTCCCACCCCTGATCCCTGTTTTCTCCCTGGAAAGATTATCCATCTGAGCACACAAATACACATCCACTCTTCTGTTTCACAGTGTATTTTGGAACCTGTTTCAGAATAGCCCGTATGGGTCTACTTTCTTCTTCTGAACAACCACATAGCATTTCATTGTCTTGGATGTACTGTCATTTAACAGTCTCCTATTTATAAACATTTGGGTTGTTTTTAACGTTTATGAAAACTGCTGTGATGAGTATCTCTGTGTGTGTCCTTACTTATTAACTCAGATCTGTATGTAAAAAATTCCAGAGAGAAATGGCTGTTTCAGGTGGTAGATGTATTAAAAAGTCTAAGATACATTCCAGAAAAGACTTCCAATTTTAACTTCTATCAACAGTGTATTTCCCCTGCACACTTGGCCAGTATACAGTCTCTTCCATCTTAACTGCTTACCAATCTGAAAGGTGAAAAGTGATGGATTTTTTCGTTGGTTTGAACTAATTGAAGTGAGATGGCGCATCTTCATTGGCCAGTTTCTCTTCTGGTACAAGGCTGTAGTTCTGAATCTTGGGTTAGGGACTCTAGTAAATCAGATAAAAAACAAAGGGCAAAGTCCTGAGGAAAATGTCCACCTTCTACAACCCTCTCAGCTCCTAAGTGTTTCATGGATTTAGGATTAAAAACCCCACTTTAGGATCAATACTGTCTTTATTACCAGGTTAGGACAAGGGTTTGACATTTTTGTTTACCAAAGGGAGACATGGGTTAATAACAGGCTGAGAAAAACTTTTCTGGTTCTTCCTTTATATCTGTCTGAGTGACACTGCTTTTTGGCTCCAGTTCCCCTGAAAGACATGACTGTGGTTCAAGCAGTGTTGGCCAAGAGTTCACAGCTCCAATGACCAGTAAGTGTTAAGACTGATACAGCTCAAACGTCTTTGCCATTTACATAGAACACAAGGCTTGGCCTGAGCGGGCAGTGCCTCCAATGGTTACCTGTCCCTGTCGGGAGGTCATTCTTCTGCAGCTTGGCCAGGCAGTAAGGGACCCATTGGCAGTCTCCAGGGTGCCTGAAACATCCTCAGAATTCCACTGGAGGGTTCTAATCTCTGTTGGAGATGGAACCTCTGAGGGTTTCCTTTGGAATATTGTTGGTTCCCTGAGCAGGTGAACAGTCAGCTTGGCCATGGGAGGCAAAGCTCCCAAGGAATGTGCTTTCTCCGCTGCCACGTTTGAGGCCTCAGACTGTCCTCAGCACTGCTGGGGGCACCCTCTCCATAGTGAGCAACACACAGACTGGAAAGAGGAAGGGCCCGCCAAGACATGTGCCACTCAGCAATGAGCCAGAATGTTGCCAGACTGAAACAGGCCCAACTAGGGCTCCTAGTGGGCCCTGCAGAAATTTCCTTTCTTCTTCCAGTTTACAAGGCCTCCGACAAATCACTGCCCATCCTGGGGCCCCATTCCTCCTCTAAAATAAAGGAGTTGGATGACAGTAGAGGTTTTCTGGCTTATTTAGCCACAGGGCTAGTTCTCCACCTGAAATTTATCCAGAGGCCCATACAGACAGCCAATAATCTGGGGCTGTGTGACTGAAGTTGGAATGGGAGCCCAAAGCCCTTGCTGCCCTGGACCCTATCTTTGCTTGCAAAATTCACTGGTCCCCGCCTGCTACCTGTAGGCCTTTGGCTGCTTACTCAGTGGCCCTGGTGGGATGTTACCCTACGCCCTCCTCATGGCCTTCTAACCATCTGCCCAGTTTCAGTATCCCTAAATGTGAGGAGGGGGCTTCCATCCAGCCCCGTTTTGGGCCTGCATGGCACGTTGCTTATGGTACTTCCTGGGGCTCTGGCATTCTCAGCAGCTGCCAGCCAACACCTGAGGGTAGGGCAGCTCATACCACTGAGGCAAACTTGGACGAGTGAGAGGGGAAGGAACTGATACATCCCTCCTCCTTTTTTGTCCCCTCCGGACTCTGCTGAGATGCATGGGATTCTCCAGGGCCACTTACTGCCCGAGCAACTGCAGGTTTCCTGGGGAGCTGTGGCCAGTCTAACCCACCACTTTGAATTTACTGTCCTTCTTTCTCCACTTCTCTTGAATCTCTGGGCTCTCCCCTTCCC